ACGTCAACAAGCACGGCGACGTCTCCCGCAGCGTCATAATGGAGTTCGTCGGTCGTGCACACTCGGCCTGTCTGTACGGGAAATTCCTGATCCTCTTCAACGAGGACTTCGTCGAGGTCCGCAACGCCATGAACGGCCGCCTGAGGCAGGTCATCCCAGGTCACAACGTCGTCTGCCTGGACGACGGAAGCACTCTCCCCGGGTCAGGGGCGAATACCGAGCCGACCAACTCGGGAACTTCCATCAACCTAGCTAGCGGACTGTCCAACGGCGTTGCAATGGCAAGTAACGGCCGCACCGTCAAGATCTGCATGCAACATCCGGAATACGAGCGGAGTCAGCTCGTGCTTGAGCTGATCGAGAACGAAGGACAGAAGGAGTAGAGTAACTGCTGTCTCTTCATTATTGGTCTTTCTTCGTTCTTCCATTCTCGTCACTACACTTCTTTCTTCTACTGCGATTCACAATTGCCCTGAAGCTGGGTAAGCCCACGCACTATTGACTTACTAATGTCCTTATTATACCCTCTGTCTGCTCGTGACCGACATCATATACCTCTCATGATTAACGATGTTGATACCAGTCTATTGATTGATGTACATACATACATCTGATTCAGATTCAGCATGCAATGTGCTAGATGCATTGATCTTTCCCATCTGCCGTATTTGTTCAAGCATTGGCCTAGTCGTACAGGACTGCAGGGCATATTGCCCCCGTGGTAATAACTTACTGTAAACCACGCCTAGACTTGAAGTGTGCAAGGAGCATGTAACCATAACCATAACTGAATTCAGATCTCAGAACCCCCTAATGCCTACCAGATATGCAATATGCACTACCAAACATAACGACGTGAACATCAATGTCGCCCAAAAACCAGCGAATCCGAAGCCGACCTCCATGAAAAATGCTAAGGCATAAAGACCAATACCAATACCAATACTATGAGTCGAATTCGACAACTTTGCTAACGACGCGGTCATGTTCAGGATCTGATGTCCGTCGCGTTGTAGAGTCTGCCTGCGGCGCATGACTGCTGCTGCTACTACCTTCGCCTGAGCCCCGATGCCCGTCCTTGCCATCGATGAGTGAGGAGGAATCCTTCTCGCGGACACTGAGCACTTCGGCTCCCTCGAGGAGGTCGCGGTCCGCGTCGCGGACGCTACGACGCTCAGGGTCAGCGCCGTATGCCCCAGCGCCCCAACTAGATATTCCTCCGACCATGGCGGCGGAAGCCGCGGCGCCAGTGCGGGGATCGAAATCGTCCTCCTCGTCTTCGTCGTCTTCTTCTCGGCTGAGAGCATTGCGCTCCAGTTCCCGTTGGGCCTCGTCCATTCGCTTCTTGACCTCGGCGGCCATCCGGATGCCGTCGGAGACGATGTTGTCCAGGACCCCGCGCAGACCTTTGCCTGGGGGAACGATGCCGCCGGATGCCCCGCCAACTGGTGCACCTGATACGGCGCTCCCTGGGGCTCTAGCGGTGCCGATGTTTGAGAATGTGGTGAGATTCGACGAAAGTGATGTGGTTGTTGATGCAGGGTGGGGATGGTCGGACAGACGGAAGGACTGGGGAAAGAAGGTCTCAAAGAATTGCTCCAGTAGCTCATCAGCCAGAATGACCATCCGGAAAGTGGGGAGGGTAATATGAAGGGGATTGTTGGGATCAAGCGCCGGATTGGCAGCTTCTGATGTCTTGCGATTATGCTCTGGGTTGGCATCCGCATCGTGCTCGTTATCCGGCGTTTGTGGCGTAGGAGTTTCCTTGGGTTTGTTGTTCTCTTCCATGTCGATGAGATCCTCCTCGTCGTCATCTCCAATAGCAAACGAACCCAGCTTGTCCGCAGCCTCATCCGTATCATTGGCAGTTTCGGTTGTCTTGCCCTCGGGTTTGCTAGGATCAGCATACTCGAAACATCGACGGATGAACGAGCTGACGCTGCCCAGGAATCTTTCATCGGTGCTCAGCTTATCCCGTTCTGGGTGGTTCCGGTCATTCAAATCTTCCAGAGATTGACTCGGCGTGATGGTACCGTCGAAACCTCGGCGAGAAAGGAAGAGTAAGGCTTCTGACATCCGGAGTATGCCTTCTCGGTCGACCTTTCCATCGCCACTGTCATCATACAGATCGAAAAAATAGTTAATGCTATTCATAATATCCCGAGTGCCCTTCAGCCGTGCAAGGCCATTTACCACGTTTTGCAAGCTTAGACCTTCGGATGGGTCCGTGGCCCATTTGCGGAACAGCCTTTGCATGAATTCGTGGTCTGCAGGTTCAGGCTTATGATTGATTCCAGAAGTCCATTTGCCGAATCCTCGGAAGCTGCCATTCATATCGGCCGATGGCTCCTTCCGCGACGGCCCGGGAGAATCGGTAACAGCCCATTTCGCTGTAATAGCGAGGAAATCGCGGAAAGCGTCATAGTCCATATGAGTTGGGCTGGGTCCGAGGCCGACGCGGCCCACCTCACGGTCTATCGGAGGACCGAGTATCGAAGCTCGTTCGGCCCTTTTCTTCTCCTGGCGCTTCTTTTCCTCTTCGATAAGCATTTGCCTCTGCTGGCGGTCGTACAGCACTTCGTAGAATCGGTCATAGATGAGACCCAGATCATCCATACTGAGGCGTTTGCTCTCTGGGCCAAGGTTCCGAATGGATGTGCGTTTAGCAAAACTCTCAATATTCTCGAGAACCGCGTCCTTGTGCTTCTCACGCTGCTCAGTGATGGTACTATGTGTGATGCCAGAGAATTCTTTGAACGCAACAACCATCAACTCCTGAAATCGCGTGATGGCTCTCAATTTAGGATTCTCCGATCTTGGATGTGCCGACTCATCCAGACGCGAGAAGTAAGATTTGAGGACTGAAATAAAAGACCCATCGTCTTGGACATCCAGGAGCTCTTCACCGTTGATGCGCAAGATGGCGAGGCCGACTTGAAAGAGTACCTTGGGGCCTTCTAAGAAAAAGACATCCAACACCCGGAATGCAAAGACCAGTGGCATAGAGTTGATGTATAGCGAGAGAAACCAAGGAAGTGAAACGACGGACAGCTGAACATCAGACTTGGAAAGGTGGTCCCACAATACCGGCATGGTCTTCTCTACCAATGACTCGAACACCTTCTGATCCAGCAGGGTGCCGTACATGGTTGTGGAATAGTACCCTGGCAAAAGACGATCGCACAGTACGGACAACAGGAAGAACGCTTGCGTCTCTGACATATAACTGTGCGGGTCAGCAGCGGGTGGTAAGCAGGGTAGGGACTGGCATACATCAACAGAGCTGCTACAACAATATTCATAGCCTGACAATATCCAATCTCCGCATTAGTCCAACTGTAAGCTGTCAGGACCCTTCGCAGCCGGCCAATGCCCTCTTCACTTTGGAAGCCGGGGTACTCTGGGAGACTCCGGTTCAGATCCTTTTCAATTTCGTCGATTGCTAAAGACTCCTGACCGGAGAATTTGGCCAGAGTATCTGTGTAAAGCTTGGGAGACCTCAGCCGCAGGTACAAAGACCCAGAAGTCACCTCCCATATCTCTCCACGTAAACGATTTGGTAGACCGACGCGAATCAGCTTATGAAAGGTTGGCTGGCGGACTAGGGTTGCGTTCCGGCCATTTTCTAGATCGCAAGACATCTTAGTGAGCGCTCTCTATCCATTGCAATGTTCCATACCTCTGAAGTATTCCCCCCATAGTCTCATCTTGCTGCGATCCCGCAGTTTGCGAGCATCACCAGGATAACGGAATATCATTCCCAGCCCAGCATCTGGGGGTTGGCGCACTTCAGCATTATCTGGGTTCTGGTCTTTAGTAGCCTTGGCCCCGGAAAGCAAGTATTCCGAGTAGCAATCATTTACAACCACCCGTAGATTCTCAATCTCCTTCATCGCTTCCCGGAGCCCCTTCTTTAAACCATCACAAAAGCGTTCGCAGGCCTGCCTGCTCCCCACCAGCTGGATGGTGAATTTCTGCTGAACAAAACCCGGAGGTTGCTGCTTTCCCAGAGCGCCATTCCACGTAGTCAACGCAAGTGAGAAGACGTGACTGAGACTATTCAGCCTTTCCACCCGCCGGATACAGCACAGCGGAAGGGTGAAGCCATTGCCCGAAGGCCCGGTGCCATTCGTCTGACCGGTCCACTGCGTAGAGGCGCTGAGTGTCGCGGAAGGGGCGAAGCTAGTCGGCTGCGTGGAGAAGCAGAGAAAGCGTTCGCTCAGATGGAGTCTCCCGGCATACCGATTGCCTGCGCGGTCGAGAGGCCGAGACTGATCGCCTTGCGACGTAGACGACGGAGAGGTATGCGGAACAGGGAGGATTAACTCGGCGGTGATTTCCTGCAATGGGTTTTGGGAATCAGGGAGACGGAACTGCTGACGGAAGAGGGACGCTTTGGATGGATTACGATCGGAGGATGTCAGAGTCGGAAGGTTGAAATTGGCCGGGTCGATAAAAGACTGGGCTTTTTGGACGAATGATGACCACTGCAACATGGTGTGCACAGAGTTATTGGGAGAATGGGGGCCAAAGACAATAGGATGTTGATTCAAATCCTCCCGCTGAACACAGGTGCGGGATGCTGGGAGCCAGGTCCGGCGCGAGCTGACAGCTACCGAAGCTCAGACGGCAGTCAGACTCGGGTAGAGAACTTGGATGGAAATCCACACTGGATCGTATAGCAAGTGTGGATCATCGTATAAACAGTCGCAGCATGCTCGAATACAGACTAAAAGTTGCGACGAATTCCTAAGTCCGGCGCTGAGGTTGTTGTTGGCCGGAAGAGGGGAATGCTGCGAGACGGACGGTGTTCCTGGCAGGCATCCACAACTAGTCACGTGATGGACAAGCTGAGTGAGACATGAGCACCACTAGCCCTCATCAATCGCTATCCTAAGGTAGTAAAAACTAGTAACTGGTTTTATAATGACATCGGAATCAAATTGCAGCTTATTCTCGAAAGGACAAACCACGATGGATTAGTTTGCTACGGAGTACTACCGACATAAAAGGACCATTGCGATGCTGCTGCTAACTACTGACTGTGGTAACAAACTGCTAGTCCACGAGATTATAGAAGACTCCACGCAACGAAATGGTAAGGAAACGAAAGGCGACGAGTGCGAGACAAACAGAAAATACCGAGGGAATGTGGGAAAAGATGTAATCTGGATCGCGGAGTAGGCAATTGAACATGATAAATGAGTCGTCCACCGATAACTCACGGGCATAAGCTCCTCCAAGCCATCCTCTCCAATCGGCACAGAACTGCTGTCTCACGTGTCCTGTCAACCAATCCAAATCGTTGCGGGCGACCGTTTACTGCTTGGTGTCGGACACCTGGACAGCCTCATCATCACTGTAAGCAGGAGGAAGCTCGTCGGACGCCTCAGTCATCAGACCCTCCTTCTCCGACACAGTTCCTTGCTCCACATTCTCTGAGGGAGCGGAGCGACGGCGCCGTTGCCACAGGAAGACCACAATCTGGCCGGCTAACATACCGAGAGCGCTGGCAGCCAACCCGGCGAGAACGCCGAGAACTGCGGGAACAACAATAAAACGAACGATGCGGGAAACGGTACGTTCCCAACCACCATGATGCATATGGTGCATGTGATGGCGGTGATGAGGGCGACCGTCAAATCCGAAGGGGCTCTCATCTCCCGGGTGAGGACGGCGTCCAGGTACGGTATCGTGATCAAAATCGCCCTCTGGGCGGTAGGGGTGTAGCATAGGACGAGTACGACCGCAACCAAAAGGTCTGGGCCTCATTCCCAGAACACGCGCCTTTGCGGCGGAAAACAATCCCCGGATGCGTTCAACCAGGAGCTTGCGCAGACACTTGGGCTTTCCACGGCACTGTTTCCACGAGAGGCGGTTTGGAGCTGTATCTTCGAAGTCGGTCTTCGCTATGTAGACGTTACCCTTGAAATCATTGATGATGGTGATGGCAACGGTATCGAGCGGAACGGGATGGCCGTCCAAATCGAGGACAGTGAATCGAACAGCTGACAGCTCCATAGGAGCGTCTTTTGGCACACCAAGAGGCATGAACTCGACCGCATATCCCAATGAGATAGGGTCGGACTCTGCTCCGTCAGATTCCCGGCGCTGAACGGCAGTGATAACTGAAGGGGGAGGGGGCGGGAAAATCTGATGACCATTGACCAGCAAAGCGCCATCTTCGATAGAGAAGTTCAGTGCCTACAACAATTAGTGATATGTTCGGAAAACTATAGGTTGCGGTAGAATGGAAAGCCGGGCTCACCAGAGAAGTGAGGAAGCCATCAGTCCAGCTGACATCTCCATTTTCATTAACTTCGCGGAACGGGCACTCCTTGCAAATAAGTTCGACCTGCTGTTGCTGAGCAGTAAAGGATTCCAAGGGATGGAGGCCAGTGAAATCACCCTGTGGCGCGATAATATCACCATCTATCTTGGGGACGACTAGAAATGCATTGGCGCCCAGGGCGACGGCGCCGCCTAGGAGGAACGAATGAAGGTTCATTGTGTCGGCAACAAGTTTTAAAAAGCACACATGAGGTAAAAGTTACAAAAGAAGAGAGTTAGAATCAAACGAAGGTGTCAAGAGTCAGATATGGGATGAAAATGATGGCTGATCCAAGAGTTTAGGTTGGAGAAGATGATCGCTCCGATGCTTATTGTTGTCAGGAGGGGAGACTAAAGAGAAGTCGATACAGTTGCCCACTGTCTGCTGCTTTTAATTCGCTGTGGTGGCGCAGGGCGGAGGCAGGTGACGCAACTTGATACAGCTAGTCCTAGTTGGGTCCGGTGCTTACGTCTCTTTTGTCTCAAGGTGGAGATAAGGTCACGTGCTGTTTATGCCTGAAATAGGTGGTGTCCAAAGTGGACTACTTTCAGGTGCAGCATGTGTAAATGTATCTACGCTGTGACCAGTCAATGCTTCCACAAACTCATACATAGTACTGGCAAGGACGCGATTTGCGTGGACGTGATCGAGTTTGATATCCAGTATGAAAAGGTCTACTGACAGAAGAACGCCCCAATAGAAGAACCTATTCCCAAACGTCAAAAGCCCCTTGAATATATGTTGCCAAGGCATAATGAGACTGGTCACCCAAAGGGCAAGAAATCAGAATCGGTCCTTCGAACAATCTCCCACTCAGCAGCCAGCGCCACTTTGCATCGCGAGTCTTGACATTTGCGCAAATTTGTCAGGGGATCGTGTGGCATCATATTGACTCTATTCCACGATTGACGCTCTCCGTCGGGAGACAGTATGGAGAGTATGGACAGCAACAGGACCAACATTGTCACGAAGGGCAGCCACCACTTTCCTCCCATGATGGTGAGAGAAGACGCAAAGATCCTCTGTTTCTTCATCGTAGTGGTAACCTTGCCGTCACTTTGCCACCTGTAGCCCGAGCGCTGAGGAGGTTTATGTGAAACTGTTTTTAGCATGGGACCAGCGTCGGCTTCAGCTTCCAGAGTCTCACTCCCATTGTTCGAAGATGGTGACACTAAAAGGGTTTCTAAGTTCTCCTGCTGAAGGTCATCTTGTTCAGAGCTCTGTTGCTCGGCTTCATTAAGAGGCCAAGATGCAACTCTGCTCCTGAGCACAGGCCGAGTCACACTGACATATCTGGGCCTACTCACACCAAGCTCGAGAGCTTGGTGTGTCAGCCGTCGGGATTTGGCATATGATTTTGGAAGGTACACAGGGTCCTTATAGCGACCTCTTCTTCTGGTCAGAAGTAAAGGCTGTGACCGTCCTGATGCTTCCGAAGACTCTATTGACGGAATTGTTACCTGTCCGTCCATTTGGCAGGCAACAGTTTGAACTCCACGCGAAATCGAAAAGATTGCTTGTCCGGCCTTCATGCAGTCCATCGGACATCGAGTCTCGGACGGTCCCGGGTTGCTTGCTCCGCGATCGAATGAAGTATCTGCCTCGCTGTCCGATTGAACGGGACTTGCGCAGCATTGGGCCGATCCCTGTTTGCGATCTTGGACATCAAATAAGGCACTTCTCCACTATCAGTTTGAACGGGACTCTCACAATGTTTGCGGACCTTGGTTCTCTTGCACGCCAACTCGGTGTCCTCAACTTCCTTTGCGCGCTGCTTTCGTCGCTTTCGCCGTTGCGGTAGAAAATCCAGATCATATGAGCTTGCGGGAGATCGTATCTCGTGACAATCGCTCATATGGCGTTCCGTTGGAAATGCCCCCTGTTCGATGGACAGAGCTGATAGACTGTCAGACAAGTACATCATTTCTTCGTCAAGGGTAGCACCACGTATTGACTTCGTTTCGTCCTCGCTGATCGCCTCGTTTGACCAGTCCATTGCACTTTTCTCCAGGTCCAGTGGCTGGTCTGTCGCAGAGATTGCTTTGTCCTCCTTCTCCGAATCTGTAGTACACTGTGTCTCATCATCTGCTGCGTCATCTGTTGTTGATCCCACTACAGACTCTGACATCTTACGTAGGCCAGAGCTTGACGCTTCAGAGCTTGATGATCCCGAACTTGACACTGCAGCATCTGATGTTTTTGGTTTGGCTCTCAAAGGCCTGCTCACTTCACTGAGCCATTTCAAGACCTCGCTCTTGTCATCCAGGTATTGAGCGGCTTCATCCACTTGCCGTTCCCATTCTTTGCGCTGCTTTCGATATTTCTCGATTTCGCGCTCATATTTATCGACAAGGGCGCCCTTGCTCCGCAAGCTCGTCTGCAAATCGTCAATTGTTTTGTCACGGATCTCCAGCTCATCTTTCATAGCTTTCCAATCCTGCTTGTACGATTTGATCAGGTTTTTCTGCTCTTGGTTCTTCTCCTTGAGCGCAGCGTTCGCCGCCTCGGCGTCGCGGATGTACTCCTCCTTGGCCTCGCAAGCTCTCTGCGCCTCTCTCAGAGCAGTTTTGGCGTCCTGCAGCTCTGCATTCTTGCGCTCGAGCTTGCGCAGCTCTTGGCTGAGCGACTCGTTCAGCTCATCGTAGGAAGCCTGGAGTTCTTCATTATCGCGGCTCAGCTTGAGGCATCTGTACAAGTGCTTCTCGATTTTGGAGAAGGATTCAACTTGGTCGACTAAAGTTTTGTGGAAATACTCAGCTTGGTCCTGAATCGGAACATTCCTGTCATTCTTGACATGTCTTACCTTTTCCAGGAGGAATTCGAAATCGGTGAGGTGATCGAGGGGGTCCATAGTTTTCTGATTTGGGTGTTTCAGTATACAGAAGTATATAGATGTGTAGACAGAGGTTGGATTGGGGTTCGGAGAGGGATTGGTCGAGGTGGGAAAATTGAATGTAGAGTCGAAGTTGCGGTCAAGGATGGGCTCAGGTTCTTATATACAGCTAGTTCACTACAATGTGTCACTCACCTCGAACAGGCCATCTGGCCGACGGGTAGTGATACCGAGTTGAAGACATCACATATCCAGCCTCAAGGAGCAGATCTCAGAACGGTGGGTTGAGTGTATAGGATGTCTCTGCTCAGGTCATTGTTCTTTGTTCAATGTTGGCATGGCGGAACACAGCCTGAACAGTTGGGACATTGAACAGCACAAAGGCATTGTCTGAGACACCTGTACAAACAGTATTTGATTGGTCCAAGACATCATCCGGTCAATCGGCAGCGATCGGATCAGGTGTCTGCGAGGTTGCTACCTTACATGAATGCCTGTTTGATATAGTGGCACCCTTCTCCGACATTTTACCAGTTATCACAAAATCCCGGAGCAAAGCGTAGCATGTCTTATAATAATACTGTAGAGCAGGCGGGAACTAATCTATACGGAGAGAACAAAGAGAAAAACATTCTTTCAAAAGTATACAACCCAATCAGAGCTTCGATTTCTTCTGCCCCTTGACGTTCTGAACTGCGTCGCCGGTGAGCAGGAAATCCGGATACTGCAGCTGCCCGTACGCCGCACCGCCAGACGACATGCGCCAACTCGCGCCGTCAACTACCGCGCGTCAGCCTGAAACGTTCTGATTTTGAGTCGCATAGATCACTTACCGACGAGGATCTGGCCAGAAACATAACTACCGGTATTTGAGAAGAGGTAGACCGTCGCATCGGCGATATCACGGACGGAGCCGAAGCGCCCCAGGGGTTGGGATTTGGTGTATGTTTCTTTTATATCAGAGGGTAGGAGGCGGTCGAGACCCTATGAACGTTAGATACACGATTCGCTCCCCAGATGAAGGGGAGTGTACCTCTGTGGAAGCGATTGGCCCAGGAGCGATGATATTCGAAGTCACCCCGAGCGGGCCATACTCGATAGACACGGTGTGAGACAAGGCGTCGATGCCGGCTTTGGCGACGGCCACATGCGCCTGGAAGGGCATTGCGCGGTAGTGGATCGTAGCGCTGACGAAAATGATGCGTCCGCCGGTGCCGAGCGGCGAGGGTCGCACTATAAACCGTCAGAACGAACCATCAAAGCCTGAACGAGATAACGTACGAGTCTCCGAGTCAACCCTGTGCTTCTTCGCGGATTCGACGAGGTGAGGAATCGTCGCTTTGAGGGTGTTGTACGATCCCAGCACATCGATATCAATCACCGACTTGAAAGCGTTGACCGACAGCTGCTGGATCGAAGCCAGGAAGTTGCCCGCCGCACCGGCGCTATTTTCAAGCCCCTGTTAGCAAAAGCGGATCGAACTCGACGGGGGCTTGTACATAACAAAGTCGATAGCCCCGAGCTCCTTGACGCAGCGATCGACGGCATTCTTCAGATCATCGTACTTGCGCACATCAACTGCGCCAATGCCGATCACCTTAGCTCCTGGTCGAGCAGTGGCAATGTCCTTGGCTGCCTTTTCCGTCTTCTCGACGTTTCGGCCGACGATGCATGCGTCCGCACCTAGACGGACGAGAGCGCGAACTTGCGCACTGCAGATGGTGCCTGCGCCACCTGTGCAGAAGACGACTTTGTTTGCTGGATGTCATGTTAGCGGATTAGTTGCTATGAGTTCGATTGGAGACACACTGAAGAGACCCTCCTTCCAGGAGTCACTGATGTAGTCTTCCGTGGGAACAGGCATTTCTGCGGCGACAGTGTTCTATTGGTATAAATTGTTGATCAAATCCTGGCTCTTGACAGACCAACAGTGTTCAAACCCTTGTTAGATAGATGATTGAACGAGATGGTACTTCAAGTTAGTGCAGTAGTGGAGGCCAGCTCGCTGTATCGTCTTCCCCACAGTGGCAAGATGCCGCGGCTGTTCGGTCGGGAGCCTCGGAATGTTCCAATTAATGATTTGTGTTTACCTCCACCTCAAACAGCAGCAAACGTAGTCAAGCAAAGAAAGGGATATCTGATGTCCTCAGTAATATCTCTATGATTGAGGTAGTCGATTGGATTTCATGCATTGTGGATTCTGATGGCGCGTGTGCTGTACAGACATGCCTGTCACATGACATTTCTATGCTTCAAAGCAGAGTAAAATAGTGCAGATCAAAACTTCCCTCATCGTAGATATCTCGAACATGCCTCTTAGACTGGTTCGAAGTGTCTCTGATACTGCTCTATGGATACCTACTTTGGGATATACCAAAACAGTCCCTGGGCTTTCCTCGAACATTCTATATCCGCTGCCTCAGGCTATCAGGCACAAACAGCAAGCTACCTAATTGGCGGCCTCCCATTGGACGGTCGGCCCATAATCCCGACGTCACTTTTTGGCTGCTTCTCCACCTTCCATCTGAGGGCTCCGGGATTATGATCCATCTTCTTCTGCATCAAATCACGCGTTGCATTGTCTGCATCCATACCGACAAAAATCAACATCTGTTGTGACATTGTGGATTGATACTTTCTCATCAACGTGCTATATAGCATAATGGCGTGTCCTATCACCGTCACCAAATTCGTGGGAACGGTGTCTTTGGGCATTCTCACTGTAAGTCTCAACACTGGGCACTCAAATTTATCTCCAATGCTTCCTTGTCCATAACATGAATCAAGAGACTAATGGAAACGTCGCAGGGCCTCTCCTACTCCGCCTCCACTGTCACAATTCCCTCCCTGAGCCTGCTCCCCACCTCCGCCAACGCTCTCCGATCCCTCAACGAAGTCAAGCGCCTTAATCGCAAACATGGCCTACGACTGACCAACATCGCCAACACCTGCCTCATCTTCGCATACTCCGTCTCCCCCAAGCACCGTAAACACCCCTACCTGATCTGGATGTGCGTCGCGTCCATCGTCGGCTCATACGGAATGGACTTTTGGTTCCACAGGGAACTCGGCCTCAAGGCCTGGGCTCAAAGTCTTATCCAGGACTCCGGATGCATGTCCTTCTCTCGCAGAAATGCCGTCAAGAAGGACGAGGACCTTGTCGTTGTTGAGGCCGAGGAGTCGGTTAATGGCGAGAGTGTCCGTGAGGAAATGGCTCGCGAGAGACGGCTGCAGTGCGCTAGGGCGGTGTGCTCGGGAATTGCGCTTGCTATGGGTATTGTCGGGCTTTGGGGTGATAGGAAGTGATTGATGCGGCCATCTGCTCTTGAACAAGACGGTTCTCGTGTCTGGGTTTTTCTTCCCCCACTCATGTACTTTTTTTCTGCCTTTTTCCCTCTGACAAAATTTTCTTCATATCTACGGACTTGCGGTATGTATTATATTGGTTGGAAACGCAAGGTATGGTGTCTGGTTCTTTCGGTTCGAATGGAAGCAAGCGTTTGTAACTAGGAGCTAATAGAAATCTTTGCGACTATCTCCACAGCAGAATATTCTGCCTAATATTTAACAGTATTGAACCCATCGAAATTTGGGAGAGCAGTGCGAATCTCCGCCAAATACTGGGGTATACCGCCCGCATAATTTCTCTGCTCAAACACTTTCCCGGGTATGCTCCCACCCATATACGTGGACTTGGTAGTAGGCAAGAATGTGAGGTCAGAAAGTTCATTGATCGTTTCTTCCAATTACGGGCTGATTCGGGGAGAGGGTCAATATACTTGATCCCCTGCCGCTCAATCTGCTTGACCGCGTCCGCAATCCAGCGGCCTGAACCCTCCACGGTCGTGGGTCCGTTACTGAGCAGCGTTGGTCCTTGTGGTCCATACGGATGAAACATATAGGGGTACCCACTGACCGTGAGGCCGAGGTAGGTGTACGTGCCATCCTTCCAGTCGTCTTTGAGTGTCGTGCCATGGATGCTGGTCAACCCATATCGGTCATACCGCCAGTGGTAACGTCGAATCCGGTCGCGACGCAGACGACGTCGACCTCGTATACGGAGCCGTCTTGCAGTTTGATGCCGGTGTCGGTGACGCCACGATGGGATTATCCTTGATATCCACCACCTCGACATTCTCGCGGTTGAACTGCTCAAAGTAGGTTTCTTCGAGACATGGCCGCTTGACGCCGAAGTAGTGCGGTAGCTCGCGCGGCACAAGATGCTCTCAGGCTTTGGGATCGCCGATGCGCTGGCGGACCTTCTTGCACCAGAAATCGTACACGATGCGGTTGGCTTCAGCGTCGAAGAGGTAGTCGCGAGCCGCCGACATCATCGTCTGCCTCGTATATGACGGTCTTGAGACCCAGCTTCCGCATTTCGTACAGGCAGTAGATGCCGCCAAAGCCTGCTCCCACGATCAGGACATCGACGTTGAGGCTATCAGCGTAGGGTCCAGCCGTGCCTCGACGGGAGGCATATTCGCTAAGTTCCTTTCTGATATGCATGTTGAGATTGAGCTTGAGTCAATTACTTTGATTGAGATGTTCAACGGACCTAACCGACGATTTCAACCTGCTTTAAGTATTCGTGAGCTCAATGCCCCTGTGCAGTTCACGAGTAACCCCTTGCTCATCCAGGCAAGCATATCCAGCCACTCTCTCTCCCCTGGACAATAATCACCTGTGTAAGTCGGTGTACAAGGTGCCCAGACTGTTGCAGGAATGCATGCAGCAGCGCATCATCACCCTCAACCCAACCGAGACCTTCCCTATCACCAATGGGCACACTCGACTGGCTTTCCCCTCTTGACGCATTCTGCGTAAGGGACTAAAAACAAAATTCGAGAGGTAAAACTCAGGTTCCTTTCCGTCTAGGAAGTATGCAAGGTACTTCTGCCAGTATGTAGGCGCAGAACATGCCAACACTTCTCTCCTCATCTTCCCCGCACACAAAAAAGCAACACCACAGATAATTTCCTGATGATCGCCAGCACATTGCCACTGGCTTGCAGATCAGTGCTAATCCGCACTGAAATACGTATTCTGACGGGTGACCCATCGCAGTTCAGACCGAGGTGTCTGCGTGCGGTTCCGCAGACACCGAGTCTCGGTAGCAAACAGATGGGAGGGACGTTTCAGGTTCAGTGCCGACCCCAACCTGGCGTCATTCTGGCCCAGTTAGCAGATTCAAAAGTGCAGTTTTCTGGATAATCCATCCCGACCACCGACGTAGTCTTGTTATATGGTGAGGGGTAACGACGACCGTTATATCCAGCTCGATCGCAGAGCAAGGACGGAATTTGACCACATCACCAAGTTTCTACTGATCATAATGGCTTCTCTTTCTCACCAAGCCGTAACTGCCCTCAAAGAGAGGGTAGATACAGCATGCGCAGACCAGGAAAAGGGTATCCCAGGTGCAGTGGTGGTAGTCGTTGGCAAGGATGGCAAGGAGCATTTTGCGCATGCAAGTGGAAAGCGTGGGTATGGCTCCGAAGAGCCGATGACGCTCGACAGTATCTTCTGGATCGCATCGTGCACGAAGATGATCACAGGAATTGCGTGTATGCAGCTTGTTGAACAGGGGGTGTTGAACTTGGATGATGCAGACCAGGTCGAGAAGATATGCCCCGAGCTGAAAGAGGTGAAGGTGTTGCAGGATGATGGGAGTTTAGTCGAGAAGCGTAGGGGAATTACTTTGAGGATGCTGTTGAACCATACCGGTGAGTGGACGCCCCTTCGTGAAAGCAAGTGCTGACTGGGATTATAGCTGGGTTTGGCTATACAATCTTTAATGAGAAGTTGAGAGACTACAGTAAGCCGGTTGGGTATGACGAGTTCTCAGGACACATCTACGATATGTTGCAGCCGTTGGTTCATCAGCCTGGGGAGAAGTGGGAATATGGGGTGCGACTAGCTAGCCACAGGAATTCATATATCCTTTGCTAATTGTGTTTTAAGGTGAACATTGACTGGGCAGGAGTCATGGTCGAGCGAGTCACAGGGCAGTCATTGAACGACTATTTCCATCGCAACATCTTCGCTCCCTCGGGCTGTATAACATTTCGATGTTTCCATCGGCGTCAATGAAGGAGAAGTTCGCATACATGAATCAGAGAGATCCTCAAGGCCAGCTCTCCGGTCGAGACCACCTGCTTCGGCGGCCTCTGATTGTGCGGACCACCGAGGACATCAAGACCTGCTTTAACAGTGGTGGAGGTGGCTGTTTCGCTAAACCACAAGAGTATTGCCGTATGTTGCCTTGTACTATGCGGCCATTCTGAGAAAATACTGATAGTCTGCTACTGGCAGAAATCCTTGCTACACTCCTAAACGACGGCACCTCACCCACCAACGGCATGCAAATACTCGAGAAAGCGACAGTCGACGAGATGTTCCGCAATCAGATCCCCAATCTTCCCAACTTCGCGGGACAAGGAATCTCACCTTCGAAGCCTGATCTCACCAACGCAATATCCCATCCGTACCCATCGTCGACACCTCAAGGGTGGGGACTCACATTCATGCTGACAGGAGGAGCCACGGGACGGTCGGAGGGGACGGCCCACTGGGCAGGACTGGCAAATCTCTGGTGGTGGTGCGATAGGGAGAATGGGGTCGCAGGGATGATCTGTACTCAACTCTTGCCCTTTGCCGATCCTCAAGTTTGGAGCCTTTGGCTGGATGTGGAGTTCTGCTGTCTACCGTGGCCTGGCTCAGGATTAGACTCTGCCGTACCAATTGCTCCTTGATTATTTGTTATCCGATTGGTCAACTTTCATCTGTCAATCCTTTGTTTGGAACTCAGAAGTTCAGAACTCTATACCTCCGGTCACCCGAAGCTGAAGCTCTCAACGGGCATTCCCCGTGGGGTATCTCCGCCCCGCCATACACGAAGTGGATATACCAACAGCCACCGCACTCCAACCACCAACCAGAGCATCACCCTAACCCAACGGCTGTATAATAGTGCGTCTAGATTTAGGCATCGATAAACCAGTCAGGGTCTCGTGGACTCCTTCCCCTAACACTAACGTCCGCGAATCCCCAGACCCCGCATTGTCCGCTTGGCTCGGAGCTTCAAAACCCACCTAACCATGAGGTCTCCGGTCTCCCTCCATACCGTATCTATCCCCTCCCCAATATCTCTCTCCACAATAGCCAGCGCCCGGTAATAGCCGAATCTGTATGCCGGCTGTCATTTAGCGTCTAGGAACGATCAATTGTCAGTGCCGCGATGGAGCCTCATCGTCGACGCCAGCACCATAGCTGCGATCCTTGTCGGAAGGGGAAGAGGGCGTGCGACGCTCCTGCTCGGAGAGACAGGCACGCTTCAACCTCTTCTGTATCCGGAGCTTCAGCATCAGCAACAGCACGCCAGGGGTCGGGCAGTCGAAGGGTGCTAGCAGAGAGCAATCTCAATATCCCGTGCTCGAACTGCAGGAAATATAATCGAGAATGCACCTTCAACTGGTTAGTTGAGAACCGCGCCGCTGCGCGGGGAGGTCGAAAGCAGAAAAGCCGCAATGTGAGCAGCTTGCCTAGAGCTGAGGGAGATGCGACTTCAAGTCGCTCGGGAACGGACCTATTGGATGACATGCTGTACTCCTCGTCGTGGCTCTCCAATAGTACTGGGAATGGTGTGTCGTCGGACGGGTCTACTGATCAGCCAGGGGCTTGGTCGATGCAGCCGAATGCCGTCTCGATACCGCTGAGGAGCAGGGGATCTGAACTCGACCCGTTCAGTATCATGCTTTGGAACGCGAATACAGCACAGGTACCGCCGAGCAATGCGGAAACGTCGGGCTCGGCCGAGGACAGTTGTTCGAGCTTTGACTACTACCAGCAGAGCTTGTCGAGTTCGGGACCGCACTCTCTCGACGAGACTCTGGATCTACTGCAACAGTTTGATGGTTCAAGTCCGGGGTTAAGTGGCTCTCATTACTCGTCGTCTCCTGGCTTTATGATTCCGGACAACAGTGACGGTCTACAAACGTTCCCAGCAGACAGTCTATATCCACCTGGAAACAAAGATAATCTATTTGTTCTTTCCGATAATATTTCCGACAGCTATGCCCGCTCGATGATGACACAAAATCTCATCCGTATATACCATGACAGCATGGAGAATGCCTTGTCCTGCTGGCTCACGGAGCAGAACTGCCCCTACAACACGGCCGTCCCGTACACCTCACCGAGTGGGCTCTCCAGTAAAGCGCAAGCGGCATGGGGACCGAACTGGACGAACCGTATCTGTACTCGAGTCTGTCGGCTAGATCGAGCGTATGCCTCCGTCCGGGGTCGAAACCTGAGCGCCGCAGAAGAGAAAATGGCATCGAGAGCTCTCCACACCGCGATCATGGCTTTCGCCTCGCAGTGGGCGCAGAAGATGCCGAGAAGCAATGGCTTTTCTCCGACCTCGCCCGTCGCGCAGCACGAGCGTGTCATCCGGGAGAACCTGTGGAACCAGGCGCGTCGTGCTCTGGAGAACGCAGCAGGTATCCCTTCGTTCCGGATTGCATTTGCCAATATCATCTTCTCCATCGGACAGCGTCCGCTCAACGTCGACGAGGATATGCAGCTCCATGAGTTGCTGGAGAATGACAGCGCGCCGTTGTTCATGGAGGCGGCTGTGCGACAGCTATTCTCCATCCGCTATAAACTGACACGTCTCGAGCGGCAGAAACCAAAGTCGCGAAGTTCGCCAGAGCACAGCAATATCGATCTAGCCAGCATGGATACGCCCTCTCCCCAGACGGATGCGTTTTACGCCGACCCCGAGCACCAAGAAACTGTCAACCTTCTTTTCTGGCTGGTGGTCATGTTCGACACCCTGCAGGCCGCCATGTATCAGCGTCCGCTGGCCATCTCCGACGAGGACAGCCAGATAACGTCCGTGTCGCCGTTGCCCTCAAATACCAAACCCGACAACAACAACAACAACGTCGACCTCGACGGCTGGAACCTCACATACACCCGCGCCCTGAAGGAAAAACAAGACCTATGGGGCGACTTCTTCCTCCACAAACGCTCCGCACGCCAGGGCTCGAACCCACCCCGCTGGCCATGCTCCTACGAAGAAGCCGCAGAGATCCTCTCCGACGCCAGCCCCGTCAAAGTCCTCCTCTTCCGACAAGTCACCCGCCTCCAGACCCTCGTCTACCGCGGCGCCAGTCCCGAACGCCTCGAAGAAATCATCCAAAAGACCCTCCGCATCTACCAGCACTGGAACACCACCTACAAGCAGTTCTTCCAGAGCTGCAACGCAAACCACGACGACCTCCCCCGCGCATCCAGTCGTGGTACGTCATCGTCGCAGGACACTGGCATCTCGCAGCCATGCTCCTAGCAGACACAGTCAAAGGCATCGACGAGGGCCGCCTGGGTCTAGAAAGCCGCCGCGAAGCCCGCACCGCAATCGACTTCGTCGCGACCCTGCGACGGGATAACGCGCTGGCCGTTGGGGCCATCGCGCAACGCAGTCTGCAGGGGAGGGAGTCCCTGTCCAACCGGACCCGGTTCTACCACGACGCCGTGAACGAGGCTGCGTTCCTGACTGAGCCGTGGACGCTCGTGCTTATTCGCTGTTTCGCCAAGGCGGCATATATTCTTCTAGACGATATCACGCCGCCGCTATCGCATGGCTATAGGCCGGACGATCCGTCGGAATATGCGCGGAGGAACTGCGAGTTCTGTATCTCGGCGTTGTGGTGTCTGGGGACGAAATCGGATATGGCCTTTGTGGCTGCGCGGTCGTTGTCGAAGCTGTTGGATAGACGACTAGGTAAAGGTGGCGATCAGTTTTGTTCAGTAGTTCTGTAGGGGAGGGTGTTCGGGTTCCATCGATGCCGCTCTTTGATGAGCGGGTATTGGGGGAGTTGGGCTAGTGTCAGTATCCCGGTTCAGTTCGAGCAGAACAATATCACCGTGTTATCGACTTGAGGCAGTCAAATGAGTATATCACCGCATTTGGTGGTCTTGCTTTCGTTTACCTACCGTGTTTACACGTATGCCTAACTTTGTGGTACCACCCAATGAGAGACTCGCCGCAGTAGATTCGTATTCTCTCATTTTTGACCCGATTAGGCAATTCGCAGATTCGAGATCACTTTTTGTTCACTATCAACACAAGAGATCCCAGTGATAAGAATGAGCTACTTTCTCACCTTTTTATCCTGATCATGTCAATAGCCTAGCCTCATTTAAAGCCATCATCTTCCCCATACCCGTTGGAATTGAAGCAGATAAGTGGCTCTAGACGTAGGGGCCGGGTATGCCGGCCTGACGTGAATGCATAATATTCCTCATAAGTATGTTGGTCGTCTGGCATAGTTGAATAATACTAGGTTGTACTTCTATGTGCTAGTATACCTGCCCCATATACATAGTAGACAGACTCCACAGTGGCGGTGGGGCGGGGGTGGAGTAAACATCTCCAATTCTCCACTATATATATATATCTACGGTAGTACGGCGGAGTAGTATCCAGATAAACAATCAAAGGCTCAATCTCAATCATTAACATCAACAAAATGTTCCTCATCCTCATCCCTATTGTCATCCTCCTCTACCCCTTCCTCTGCACTCTTTCCACAATCCTGCGCACCCTCTCCCTCCGCTCAATCCCAGGCCCGTTCCTCACCCGGCTCACAAAACTCTGGTACTTCCACCGCGTGCGAGCCGGCCACTTCGAAACAGACAATATCGCCCTGCACAGACGATACGGGCCAGTCGTGCGCATCGCCCCAGACCATTATAGTATCTCCGGGCGCGCAGCCATAAAAACCGTCTACGGGACGGGGAGCAAGTTCACCAAGTCCGCCTGGTACGAGGGGTGGAAGCACCCGGATCCGAACCAGTGGACGTTGTTTCCTGATCGGGACATAAAAAGGCATGGTATGCATCACCTTCCTCTCCTTGGTTCGTATCACTGCGTGATGGATGATGAACGATTGTAGCGGAAACGCGCAAGCGGTTCTCGAGTCTCTACTCCATGACCTCGCTGGTGCATTACGAGGCGTTTGTGGATCGGTGCGCGGATCTCTTCTGCATGCGGCTGCGGGAGTTCGCTGCCCGTGGTGAGGAGTTCAACCTCGGCCATTGGTTCCAGTGTTATGCGTTTGACGTCATTGGGGACATTACTTATGGGCAGCGGTTTGGTGAGTAGTCTGCCTAGTTGGGCTGTTTGCTTGCGGGCTGGCTAACTATGGGAGGCTTCCTCGATCGCGGAGAGGACATCGAAGGAACGATTGCCGCGCTGCAGCGGCTGATGACGTACAGTACGCTTGTGGGCATATACCCGGAGTGGCATCCGCGGCTTTTTGGGCTACTGAGCCGGTTCAGCTGGTCTGGTGCGGCCGGGAGAGCGTATATCGTGCGATTCGTCAAGGAGAAGATCAGGGGCCACTCTGTAAAGGTAGACCTCGGCCAAGCCGAGCGCGGTTCTCTGGAGACACAGAACTTTGTCGAGAAGATGATGCTGGCGCGAGACAAGGATCCGGAAAAGGTGACGGATTACCATGTTTTCATGATGGGGTTATCAAACGTCATTGCTGGCTCGGACACGACTGCCATCAGTCTGTCGGCCATCATGTATAACCTCCTGCGCTATCCCGCGGTCATGGAGAAACTTCGGCGTGAGATCGACGAGTTTGCCGCGCAGGGAAAGTGCAGTGACAGAGTCACTTTCAGAGAGAGTCAGGAGATGCCGTATTTCCAGGCCGTGATCAAGGAGGCACTGCGCATGCACAGTGCCACAGGCTTGCCGCTGTGGAGGGTGGTTCCACACGGCGGGGCCGAGATCAATGGCTATTTCTTCCCTGCTGGCACGGTTGTGGGGATCAACACCTGGGTGGCCCATTACGATGAGGAAGTCTTCCCAGATGCAACGACTTTCCGTCCGGAGAGATGGATCGAGGCGGACAGTAATCCGGAGAAGCTCAAAGCCATGAACGAGATGTACATGCCTGTAGGTCTCTCCTACTTCTCTCGTACATAGCATATTGACGACTGTAGTTCGGCCTCGGGACAAGGACGTGTCTTGGAAAGCACATCTCCATTCTGGAAATGTCGAAACTGATCCCGCGAATCGTCCGAGACTTTGATTTCGATATGAGGAGTGAGGATTGGGATACGGAGAACAGGTGGTTTGTGAAACCGACCAACTTTACCGTCCGGGTTGGACAGAGACCAGAGGCTAGATGAACCAAAGTCACGGCGTAACTCCCAGGTTCAGTCGCCGGTATTCCATAATCAATCCATTAATATCTCTCATGTCAGTATGATCGAAGCGAGAGAGACCCCGCTCTGTAGGAAGAGGACTTTGTTCATCGCTAGCACTGGCGATGATTCGGGCAACGATGATTCGAGCCAAGTGCCAGAATTCGGGTGCATACCGCACGAAGCCGATCTTCTTCCAGATAGACTGCGGTTCGTCGGGAATGTCCTTGTCCTCGGGTTGTCGTGCGTTCCATATTCGACGCCAGTTCTCCAAACCGGTCTGAACCGGCGCAAGGGTGGACTCGAAGACCAAGGAGTTTTGCAGCTGAAACGTAAAAGAATGTAGAGCTATGGTCGTTAGAAATGTTCCAACGTAGAATGCTAAACATACCTTGTACGGTCGTAAACAGATTCAGCGTTCCCATCTTTGAAAACTCGAGGACAGACTGGCCATCCAACTGTCTTTGGCATATCCTCCGTACCACGTCAGCGATGGACAGTCTCTCAGACCAGAAGATAGACCCTTCCCAGTCCCTCAGGGCGTGAAAGCACTCTGTAGCTGTGTCTGCCTGAAAACAAGCCTCGGGACAAGCCATGTCCATCTTGAGCTCCGAAACCACCATCCGTGGCGGAGTGTGGTGGAAGATCGCCATGGCGGCATCGATCAGGAATACGAACGTCCGAGTCCTATCCCGTTAGACTTAGTGGGGTGTGAGCAAGTCGTGACAGGCGTACCGAATCAATTCCTCCTCAATGACAAACTGGCTCCACCATGACTTGGAGGGGCTCTCCAGCCGCAAGTTGCGATGCGTGGCCGATTCAAGCCCGATGTCTCTCGCCAGCTGTTCTATTAGCCAGTTTCGCAGATAGGAACTTTAATACGCACCATGACCAGCGTTGCATGTCGATACCTCCGCACGCGCCCCTGCGCCTCCACGGACCCCTCCCTTTTCTGCAGTGAGCAGACCAGATATGCCGCCTGGATATATTCAACGCGCTTCTTCATGCATTCGGCCTTGTCGTATAGCAGACCCGTCGACATGTCGGACGTCTCTCTCTCCGCAAAACACTCATCGCCGAATGCCATTTCTTCAACGCTGTCCAACCACATCTTGGCCGCTTGGTTGTCTTCCTCATGCGGCGATAGACACGCTCCAATAATCAGCATAACGCACAGCAGAGCGGTCCGTGCCGTCTCCGGATCGAACGACGGGCGGTGCACGATGGGACAATTGGGGTACCACAACGACCAGAAATATTCCAGAAAGCGGCGGATATTGCTAGCTGAAAAAAAGTCGGAGCAGGATTGTTGGACGGCAGGGGACCAGTCCAGTTTGATGATGGTTTTGTCCGACTTTGTGGTGATGGTGCGGTGGAGACGTTCAGTGATCTCGTGAGCCTTGTGAACGAGGATATCCCCATCACTGGATGACAGGTGGATGAGCGAGGGGTCTATTGTTTCTGGCAGCAAGTCTGTACCATGCGCTTCTTCGTTTGTTCTCTCGTACGAGTGTCGGTCAGCCCCCTTGAGGAGCTCCTGTCGCTGTTTTAGAGTCTCGCGGTCCAGAAACGTAGCCATACCATTGGCGCTCGTAAAGTAGGCCAGATATTCCAGCCTTTCAGCCATCGTGATGCTGTCCGAAGGTAGCGCTGGTGCAAATAAAAAGTCCAGCGCGGCAAAGTCCACCGAGTTGGGAAGGTCAGGGGGGTTTCCACTTCGGGTTGAACATGACGAGATAACGGCTCTCGCGCATTCACTCTGTCGATCTAGCTGATTTGACTGAAAGTCCGCAGGAGCCTCCACGACCTCTTCCTGTTCTTCTCTGACTCTGCATGTCCTCTCATGGCGTTTCAGAAGGTCTCTGTCAAGGCCAATTAGAAAAGCTCATCATATGACCAGAACATACTTTCGCGTGAATGATCGCCGACAGAGCGCACAGGCAAAGGGCCTGAGATTTTCATCTGCTCCTGTTAGCTACGTTCGAGCGGTTCGAGTCGGAAAGGTAGACATACGTGACCGAAGGTGTCGGCGTAGATGTTCGGCGCGGCTGAAACTCGTGCAGCAGTATGTGCACTGCCACAGACGATTAGACATAAGGACCTTATTGAATGTAGTCTATAGCGATGGATCGGATCGATGACAGGCTGCAGGTTAAGGTCTAGAGTGTCAGGACAAGAAACGAGGACCAGAGGCGGGGAAACTAGTTGATGCCTGAGGCTACAGCACCAGTCAACCAGTTGGTGGGCACATAGTAAACATCTCCATCTGCTGCGTCCTCCGTGGTGTCTTACGAGTGCTGCCCCGTACCTCCCAATCTGTCTCCACCTATTGGACCACAGCCGATGATGAGCCTGTTCAATGATCCTGGCAGTATACAGTCAGGAGCCGCATTGATCATGAAGCAGCTTCCCAAGAGACTGAATGGGAAGCCTTGTTCCCCGTCCCTTGAGCAAGCGGAAGCATGGGGGATCTATTACGAAGAGGGGTGGAATTGGGCTAAGATCTGTCTCTTTCTCGCTGCTGGGTTTTTTCCTTCCTAGGCTTGTATTTGGGGTTCCTCGGGGAGTTCTGAAAACGGGACGTTCGGGGGAGTTTGGTATAGCCGGTTGGTGGATGACTGGAGCTACGATTATTCTTGGGGTTATTGGGACTTGCTCGTAGCTTAGAACGGTGATTAGAACTATGGGCTCGTTAGCATTTCATGTCGCTCTTTGCTTACAGGATGCAGTAAGTGCAAGCCCTTCGCACAATTAGTTGTATACACTATACAGTTATGTGCTTAATTTCAGATATATACAGATATACAGAGAGATACAGAGTATACAGCTAGACTAAGGCTGAGGCAACTGGACGATATGCGCCTCGCCCAACACCCCCTTGACGACCATCACCAACTCATCCACCGCAGCCAACATCCTCACATACGCCATCACCCCCACACAGTACCGGCGATACCCCTTCTCCCTGATCAAATCCGTCTGCAGGGGCATCACCTCAGTCAACTGCGCCCCCGCCAAAACTCATAGCAGCGTTTGGTCAACGGCGTGGGCAGCACCTCCGGCAGCGGATCCCCCGTCTTGATCGCCTGCGCCACAACACCCAGCACGGCCATTACGTCCGCAATGGACCGCTGCTCCAGCACCCCCGACGTCCGCGCCAGCCGCTCCTGTAGTTCAAGCGGTAGCGTTGCTGAGAGCAGCAGCAACCGGCCCAGGTTCTGGTTGAGGGTCTGGCAGAGCGCCTGGACCTGTCGCAGACTGGCGCTGTCGAAGCGGGAGCTGGAGAATTCCAGTCCGAGGAGGGCAATGGGGCCGTTGAGTGCGGCGAGCCGCTCGGCGACTTCGATTGAGAGTAGCTCTGCCATGCGGGGGTCGTTGTTGGGGCGGGCCCAGCATGAGAGAAGAAGGGCGTAGTGGTCTGTTAGTCGGCGGAGGGTGTTGGATAGCGAGGTGCAGATGTGTCGTGCTGCTGAGGGTGGGCGGGGGAAGATCTGGACGATTAGTGCGGCGGCGAAACCGACAAAGACCAGGACCAGACGGCGCCAGAAGACGTTGTAGCCGACGCCGGGGTTGCCGTATTGGGGTATTTGTCTGCGGTGGTCAGATTCATACGGACACCATAATGGCAAAAAGGGGGGAGGAGGAGGCTTACGTATCGGCGAAGCTGTATCCGATGATGAGGAAAAACGTTGCGGCGCTCATGATGGTCGCTTGCAGCATCGCAGGACTGAGAAATAGTCGTCCCCACATGAAGATCACTATTACTGGGGCCGAAATGGCAGCCAGTCCGTATGGGTTGCCCGGTCCATGTCCGGAGCCGATATACCACGCGGCCAGTCCTACGACGCCCCCGATAACTGTTCCAACGGCCCGGCAGATGAGCGAAAAGGTAAAGTCGGACATGTACACCAGCAGCGTGGTCTGCCCCATGATGAGTCCCCAGAGGCCCTTTTCACGGTAGTAGAATCCCGAACTCGATGGAATGACGGCCGGCACCGCCAGAGCAATCGTCAGGATGACCATGCGCAATGCGAAGAGACCCTCGGCGCTGACAAACCAGTGGTACGTCCCCAGCACCACGCGGCCAAAGCCACTCCGCTGCTTGACGCGGTATCCCCGGCTGATGCGGCGGAAGAGCTGTTCCGTCTCGTCTGTCTGAACTACAGGATCGTCCGGGTCCGGGTCGGACGACTGTCCCGCGACGGGGGTGCGAGCGTCCCGTCTCAGCACCCAGCCAACGGCGTATTCGATGCTGGTGGGGAACCACAGGCGCGGCTTCGGCCGGGCCTCGAGGAGAGCCACGATCTGCGAGAGGAACTGATCCAGAGCGTCCGCCACGGAGATGACCAGCTCTTCAAAGGCCAGGCCGGCCATGACGCTGCTGATGGACGTGCCGCCAACGGTGTCAAGGCGCTTGAGGCTCCCACTCTCGTCAAAGATCTCACCGTGTTGCGTAATCAGCTTCTCGGTGGTCTGCTCGGCAAAGGCGTCCCGAGCCGCGCGCAGCTTCTCCAGGAGTTTCTGACACTCGTCCAACCGATCCGCGGCCCGCGAGCCGAGCCAGCGCCGCGAGTTGACCGTATGGATGCACTCGACCGACATGCCGGCCACCTCCTCGCACGCCTGCAGAATCTCCCCGCTGGATTCCCGCAGAATGGCATGCGTCCCGGACCGCAGCGCCTCCGACTCGGGACTGGTCATGGCTTCGATCATCTCCAAGCTTTCCAACATCTGCCGCTGTCCAGCCTCGCCCTTGGCCTCCTGTCGGGGTCCGTCCGAGGTACTCACCGGCGTTCCGGCCTTGGACAGGGCCCGGACGCGGTCCACATTAGCCCGCGCGCTCAGCCAGTTGATATGATAATCCAGCAGCGACACCGTGCTCACAAGAACCTGCCGCACAGGCTGCCTCAGGCTCTTCACATCGACCGCATTCCATCGGCCGCGCGAAAGATCCAACGGCAGGAAACCCATCGCCGGCTCCATGGCCTTGTACCCAGCGATGAGCTGAGTCTTAAGCGCCATCAACGTTTTCAAATCCAAATCCTCGGTACGAGTAGCCGTCAACCTGAGCGGTTGCTTCGCCAACTCGACCAACGCCTGCATACCAGCCAGGACCGCATGCGACGTCGACTGTGGGAAAAGCAGTAACGAGGCGACCAGACCCAGACCCGCACCAATCGCGGCAGGGATGATCAGAAGCTTCGGCAGCGTCCCCCGAAACGAAGGCAGAAGCGGGCCTATCGTCAGGAATAGATCGGCAATGATGGTCCCGAAGATCTGGACGAGCGTGAACTTGGGATTTGCGGCGCGCAGCCGGGCCTTCACACATATCAGTAAGGTCATGAGTAAAAAAAGGGAGGGCAACCATTACCAAAAAGTAAATAAAAACACAAATCATAACAAAGTAAATGACCGAAACCCGCGCATCAAGCATGAACCCGTCATACACCAGCTGCGACTGCACGCTGGCCGCACTCTGGCCGGTTGCATTCGCCTGTCTGGCCGCCTCCTGTCCGAGCATCTGCAGACGGGCCAGTGTCTCCGTTTGAGGACGAGCAGCCAGCGCGGCTTTCATGGTGATGACGCCCCAGGCCCAGGCGAGGGCGATGCCAATCAGCAGGGTTAGCGTTCCCAGGATGAAAATGAAGAGGATCCCAGAGGGGGGATTGATGAACAGGACCAGACTACCAAATTAGATCAAACCCAATCTCTCTGTAGATGATTAACTCACCATCCGAAAAACGTGGCTGTGCCGATGGTTCGCAGAGTGGGATGGATGAACATCAGGACCGTGGCGACCCATGTTGCGGCTGCGCAGCGGAAGAGGGTTTTGAGATCGTGCGAATTGAAATGGAGCCATGCCGGCAATGATTTTCTGCCGGGGGTTCCTCTGATGACATTGTTGTTCTGAAATTGGTGGTGATGCAATGGCAATGACAAGAGAAGAGAAGAATCAGGAGATGAATAGACGAGGAAACGCGGAGTTTTTTAGAGTTGCCGAGTTGTGGTTACATTCCTGGAGCAGTCAGGATCGACAAGATCGGCAATCAACACGTTCTGATGACATAGACTATCGGAACTAAGATCTGCTATTAATCAGACTATCTAAATATGTCTCAGGCTAACTATTCGGTAATTGTGCCTAAGGGCTCCTTTTCTTACTACCAGACCCGTGAACTAGCGAGTTACCGAGGTACCATACAATGACCGATCCCCGCAGATGAATGCCACTACAGTAGTAGAGTTATTAAGATCTCTATCAATTCTTCGGTTTGAATGTATCCAGTATATTCTACTGGGCTCAGACCAGGGCATGATATGTCTTGTATGCTCACAAAATTTATTCTAACTAAAAACTTTCAACACCAACAATGCATGGACTAGAGCACGCAGATGATAGAGAGGCAAATCATCAGCGGTTGTCGATGCGGCTAAAGAAGCATAGCAAACATGCAAATAAAGTGTTTAAAGGCTCTTCGACACAATGCTCAGCTTCCCAATGAGGTGGACCATCAATATATCGTAGAAGACCGTGACAATGCCACGGGAACAGTGGCCCACGGAGAGTAATGCTGCTCCAAAGACGGCATGTCCGTATACATGTTTTGAGTTGACATTCCTGACGAAAGATTTGGTTGGGCCCGTCGTTCCCAGGATCGTCAGGAAGGCTCTTGTGTACGCAAAGCCGTGGATTGGCATGACGGCATCGTGGTACGCAAACGGGTTCTTTGAAAGGTACGCATAGAGCATTGTCGTGGCGCACAGGATGTTACCAGCTTGATATGTAGGCCCTGGTAGAGAGTCAGTACAGGAGTGTAGAATGTGGACTGCTGGGATGTGTACGTGTAATGGGCTCATAGCCCCGATGTAGATGCTTGGCCAGCGCGAGAGACGTCCCACTATGTACGAGACATGCTATTAATGCAAGGAGCGAGCAGTCGAAACCGCCATAGAAGAGGGCAAGTTTTGTCCATCCTGCAACGGCATGCGGGAGCAAAGCTGTGGGATTCGCCTGCTTGGATGGATGAGGCTGGGATGGATGAGGCTTGTATGACTGTTGGCTTCATGATGATGTTCTATAGCTCTAACTTGTTCTTTAGGTCTATTCCTGAAGCTTGCTCATAGAAGTTGGAAACTAGAAGTAACTAGAAGTAATGGAAGAATGGACTTGGATTCGGTATTTATGTCCATGGGTTCCTTTTGTGTTCCTCTGTATAAGTAGCCTGGTGTATACTACACCACACCCCTTGCAGTCAGCAGCCATTGGTGGTAAAGGCATTGACAACCTGATATTGAACTATATTGACTTGGTATGAAATCATGCATTGTGGATGTCAATAGAATCATATAGTAGGGACATCGCACGCTGAGTGAATCACTATATAAGGTGGAAATCACTGCTCATACATCATAGACTGCAGCACACCTTCACTGAAATTGTTGTCTATAATATACCTAAGTAGGTTTATAAATAGCCATCAAGTACACCTCTGCCACAAAACAACATTGTTATACTTGCCAGAAGCGGCCGTTTCTGGCTGTCTGGTCAGACTAGCTAAACTTACTATTAATCACACTACCTAAATCTGTTCAAGGCTAGCTAACTATTTGTTATTTTTGCCCAAGGGCTACCTTTCCTAACTGCGCAAACTGGTGAACTGGTTAGTTACCGAGGTATCTATGGAATGTAATCTAAACTAAGAAAACATCGCGGACACCTCTTTTAGCCTAGTGCATTAGTTTTATGTAGTAACTTGCTGTTATCCTCAGTCTACTTTCTCAACTTGCCGTCCTTTCTCTTGATCTAATGTCTTCACTCGGGCCCGGTGGCCTGAGAGAAGAACGCGCACTATTTGAAGCAATCCACCACAACGACATTGCTACAGTTGCCCAACTTCTGAACGATGGAGTCTCCCCTGATGGGCCCAGCTTAGACTGTCATCCACTGCACGAGGCCATTCTGCGCGGCAGACACGAAATCATCGCACTGCTTATCCAGCATGGCGTCCACGACCGGAGTGATGAGATGGGGACGAATGCGCTCCACTTGGCGGCACTGAAGGGGGATGCACAGATCCTCGAAATGATTATCAAATACTGCAAGCAGAGAAATTATAGCCTTTTTGACAGGGCCGCTGCGCAGAAAGCACCGATTCATTTTGCAGCAATGAGCCGCAGCCTGGAGTGTGTGCAGGTGCTACTCCGCGAAGGGGCCAGTATCCATGACGTGACCACGCATGCTGAGACGCTGTTGCATTTTGCAGCTGGGGAAAGGAGTGTATGGGCTGAGAAAGGGAGTCAAGAAGATGAGACGGCGTTGTTGAAATACTTGATTGCCGCAGGGGCAAATGTCAATGCGCTTACTTCAATCCGGGAGAGCCCACTATGGTACGCAGTGCAAGAGGACAATCTTCCTGCTGTGAGGGAGCTGCTTGCTGCCTCTGCGAATGTCCAGCTCCGCAATCTCTATGGGGAAACTGTGCTGCATGAAGCGGCACACCATAGTTCGCTGACTGTGGTGCAGGTGTTGGTGCAAGGTGGCGTGGATGTTCATGCTCGGAGCAGTTCAAATGGATCTATTCTGCACCGCGCGGCAGAGGCTGGTCGTGTGGATACTGTGCAGTGGATACTGGGTCATAGCAACTTGACTGTGAACGAAACTGGTAGCCATGGTTGGACCCCATTGCACTCTGCTGTTTTCGCCTGTCAAAGTACTATGACCAAGTACCTCCTCGAGCACGGAGCTGACCCGACAATTGGATCAGATCCAGGAAACCACACGGCTCTACATTATGCTGCGTTCTCGAATCGAGGGGAGGCGGATTCCACACTCGTCCGCTATTTGATCCAGTACGGCGCTAGTGTCAACGCACCGGCTGATTCGCGCTGCTTCAAATCCTGGGGGCAGACAGGCGAGTCGCTACACGAGTGGCTCTTTGATCCAGAACCTGACGAGCTGGAAATCGTTTACCCGATTCACTGTGCTGCTTGGTCAAGTGTGCCTAGTAGGTTGGGGGCTCTACTAGAAGCAGGCGCTGATATCCAGGCCAGAACAAGTGTAGATGGCAGTACTCCCTTGCATCTGTCAGCACGAAGTGGGCTAGAGATGGTTCGGGTTCTCCTTTCCAATGGCGCAGACCCTAATGCAACGGACACTGCTGGCTGCAAGATGGCGCATCATTTAGTGTTTGCGTTTCGGCAGACGCCTAAGATTGCATGGGAGTTTCTGGTGGAGAATCAGCTATGGGATGCGTCAACAGTGGAGCAAGATTTGGAAAGAGGCAAAGTATATGAACAGATGGCCAAGTGCTTTAAGACGAGGAATATATTTAGCCGTCAACCACCTATGTCCATTGCATAGAAGAATTGACAACGGTGGCTTTACTTCATTGCTATGGTACGACGTGTAGATTACCCTATGTCACCCTATCAGTATTTGGTGGAGAGGACGGGGTCGGATAGGACGTGGTTGATGACGGAGCTGCCTTGCTGGCCTGTTGCGCCGAAGACAACTAGAAGTTGAGTCATGGTGGGATATAAAACAAGATTCTCTAGGAACTGAACCGTGGTTATGCAGCAAAGTAGGTGCCTGCAATGAGGACAAGGAGACGCAGTCGTGCTGCTTAAGTGCAGCGCAGTATCGGAATACAGACATAAATCCAGGCTTAAATCCGGGGGTGAAACAACCGCAGGATTTAGCCGCCAATTACCCCGTAGTCAAGAACATTAATAAGATAAGAATAAGACTTAGAAATCGTGCATGTATTGTCTTACTCAGAACTTTGTCTTCTTAGTAAATCCTTCCGGTCCCTTAGCGTTATTGGCATAGGTGTAACATCATGGACCAGAACGACGACTGGAGCCAGGACTTGAAACGAAGACTCAATCAGTTGACAAACACAAGGCATATCCAATGGCTGCCAGCCAAACAAACGCAGACGAGCCCCGGAAGACCATCGTCACCAATCTCATCGATGGCCCTCGTGATCCTGCCATCGGATGGCAGCCTTTCCGTTGTTTAGGGTAGACCAGGAGGTCCTTCACTACGGCAGATCGTCACGCCAGAGCTGCCGTGCAGGTCGTCAACTCGGCTGCTGCGGCGCTCCAGCGGTGGAAACACACCCCGGTGCATGTCGTCGGCTGTGCTTCGCGCTGCCGAGCTTTCTGAGGGTGCGTCGATCAGGTCTCAATGCAGCAGATGTAGGAAACAAGTGGCAGAGGAAGCTGGGCTAGTTTACGACTATGCAGCCTTTAGGGTTTTGTCGGGAGTGGTCCGGGCGGTCGTGGGCAATATACAGCCTTTTACTTTGGCTATACGCACCTTGTCTTCAAGGAACTGGTTGTCCTCGTCTTCGCGGAAAGGCCGGCATCCATTACCAGATTGTGCAGAAGATAACCCTAACCCAACCCGACACCCACCATGTCTGGACGGGCACACTGAGCAGGCTTGAAGTTAAGAGGCATTCCAAAAGTTAGGCGTCCTTGCCCTCGATATCGCAAGACAGCTCCATTGCACTATACTCATTCCGTGCCAAACAAGACAGCTGCTCGCTGAGCATTCTAGCGTCCATTCCTTCAGTATAGTCCCAGAAGGTGATGCTTGAGGAGGTAAGGACGTCTACTAGATTACTACAGCAGTGAAATGAACGAATTTGAAGGAACACTGATATGCTAACACTTGATGTGAGTGACTAGCAAATATCTCCATCATGGCCTAGCCCATATTTCGTCGCGAGAGTTGGCACACCCAGAGTGCCTCGGGCGTTAGCAGCTGTGAGATCCAGAGCTGGTAGACGCGGCACAAAAGTCCAGACCAGGGTGATAATTCATATATCCCCAGTATGGATCGAGCCATAGGTTGGTGACAAATCTCGTGGTCCCCGGAACGTACCACCCACACCTCTCCGTAATACCCTGGAGGGCCCTAGTGAGGCGATCCGCGCTGGCCTCGGCCTGTGCAGCAACTTTGTTGCAGGCGAATGCCACCACGCTGCCGCTGATCGAATACCACGCCAGATTCGGTCCGATACGAACCGTTCCGCCGCCGAACTGGTTCTTCAGGTTCTGCACGGCTCTGTCGCAGTCTCCATGGTTCCTACCATCGAAGCAGTTAGAATAAGCGGAAAGGACTGCATAAGACTTGGCCACTTACATGGTTATGCCACAGCCGCAGTATGTAACAGCGAAACTAGGGTCTGCTGCCCTCTCGAAAAGGGCTGCTTCGTGTTGTTCGGATTCGGGGTCTGTCACTTGGACGATATCCTCTGGGAGGAGAGGCTCGTGGACTTCAACACCGTTCTCGTTGAGGTAGACCTTGTAAACTCCGTCCATCATTCCCTCGGGGATCTTGAACGAGGTGGCCAGCTTTGCAGAAGCGGCCAGGGCAAGAAGGGCGAGCTGAGTTGCGCGCATTTTGAACGTGGATTTCAGAATATCAGACCTTTTGAACAGCTCGCAAGGGTACTGGATAAGGATGCTTCGAGTAGCTGTCTAGATAGAACTGCTGAATGTGGGGAAGAGAGCCTTCTTATACCCCATTCTGTTGACTGCCATTGACTGTCATTGACTGCCGCTGACCGCCATCTCGAACAATGCCTTCTATAACCGAGTGCGTTGACAAATTCTGGAGTCTCGGACTAGACCAGCAATATCCTATTTTGGTAACACCAACAGGGCCAAGGTAAGCGACTGGTCAATTCTCCGAGTGTCTCACGCTAAGGAAAGATGGCACAATGAACGTGCAGTAGATTGGGAGATATATTAAGTATGGATGTAACGCTGAAGTCGCTAACCGCTACACACCAGTCTTGCTATCCCATAAGCTCCTGGAAATCCTGAAATTTGGAATCACGTACGCCACCGTGAGGAGACAAATATTCCAAGAGTTAGCTGTGACGCAAGAGCCAAGGTAAATTTGTTCGAGGAAGGCTATGGACCATGACGCTGTGCCAGATGGGGAGGAGAGTATATAACAGAACTTTGAATTCAAAGGACAAGTTCATTGGAGAATGGGAGACTGTTCCTATCATATTCGCCTTAAGAGGCAGGCAAGTACCAACCATAAGCACCACGTCAATTACTTTTAGATTAAGTTTATTAAGGCTTCTTAGACACATGGCGGATAGGACGGGCAACCACAACCATACCTTAAATACCTCAAACTCTGGAGGGCTAGGAAGTTATGTTATGATTGAACGTGCTAGACTCTAAGACCCGTACTAAGGCAGATAAGGTAACTCGATGATAATGTGCCCACTCCAGAATCATGAAATCCCTTAACCCTTGATTAGCGCACGCTGAGCACGCTCTTCCCGCCAATTAGTTATCGTTGAAGCGCATGGGTTCCAACAGCCAAGGCACGAATGCAGGCATTACATGATCGTTGCGTACCTGCTTCATATTCCTCTTTGGGGAAAAGAAGGGGAATTACCTTGGATTGCATTGAATTCAACCCCGCCTGAATATCACGGTTAGTTACAAGGTCATGTCATTAGGAAGATAGCCCTAACCCACCCCCAATATCCACCATCTCTAAATAGGAAGCTTGGGACATGGCTAGAGGTGGACATAGGCTCCCTTTCTCATATAGTGCCTCTCCCCCCTCTATATCAATTAGATAGCTCTATCTATTAAGTTTGGCCATCTATTCTACAAACACCAGAACCACAGACTGTGACCTCAGCACAGACACCAGCTCAGGGTCTTGCCTAGGATACTAACCCTATATAACGTCTATGAGTATATTTACTACGTGGACACTATCTCGCCAGCAGTGCTTTCAGCGAGAATAATTCCTTCCTCAGTCCGCTAAGATAGTAACAAGTGTCGTACTAAGAGGTCCCGGAAGATGTTGCGCATATCGGACGCCTTTTAGAAACAGTCGATACATGATTTATTAGCAGAAAGTTATATACAAGAGGGTCGTAAATACATTAGAAAAGTTATATACCTCAGACGGTCTATTCACGGTCGACCCATAAGATATCCTCGGTATACCCCAAATTATCCCGTCTATCATCACAGATCCTCGCATACTCAAGCAACAACCGATACATGTAGATCTGCATATCCTCCCGGCGAAGCACCTTCTCCGCCCACTCCTTGCCGTTCAGGGCAATCTTTCGCGCGGCGGAGTCATGGCCCGGCCCGCCGTATCCGATAAAGTACTCCATTATGCCGTAGATGTCGAGGAACGTCGAGTCCATGGGGACGAAATGGGCCCAGGGGATGAGCCGCGAGTCGTGCCATTCGTCGTAGATGGTTGCTTTGATGGGGAGAGAAGTCGACAATAAGAAGCCGCGGTACCGTCCGCTAAAGGAATTGCCATCGATGTCAGGCAGGTATTTGTAGTCGTACTGCTTGTCCATGGGCATGGCGGGGACGAGGGCAAAGTACGGTTCCGTGTAGGCGCAGTGCGGATCCGTCAGATCGTACTCGCAGGGCTGGTCTGGGACACAGGGGAAGCAGACGAGATGGATGAAGCCCGCGTCGACATGGTCCTCCACGAACTCGTGGAGTTGGCCGGCGTGACCCGAGGCCAGATTGTAGTAGTCGTAGTTGGGGAGCACGAAATTCACAAAGTGAGAATTGTTCCGTTCGGCAGCAGCGACGGATGTCCCGTTCAACATGGCTAGAAGACGATGGCGCTGGAAGCCCGTCCAGTTGTTGATTCGGTTTCGACCTCCCGATGCGATGCCGCGCCAGATCAGGGAATCTTTCTTCGATTCCCATGGACCACCATGTTTGTCGCCGCCAGAGTATCGCTTGTCCTTGGCCCAGTACATAGCAGGAGGGATGAGGATCTCGTTATTGACTGGCAGCTTGGATCCTCCAAAAAGAGGAAATAGCTCATGCGCGGTGGATATGGACACGGGCTCGATAAAGGTTCCATGGAGCGCCTGCATCTCCGGACGCCAACAAATATCCTTGGACTGGGTCCAGTTGCGCACATAGCCATTCTGCGAGTGCGGCAAAAAGTTCTCCATGGCCACCTGCAGGACTGTATCCGGGTCGACGGTGAGACTTTTGCGCGACGGGCTGTCTGGCGGGCAGCCGACCCGAGCCATATGCCAGAACGGACCATCGTTGGGGCCTAGGAAGCGAGGTTCGAATTTCCCAGACTGGGGTTCATCCTTCGCAGCTGTGTATTCCGTGATAAACTCTGCAGGGCTCTTATCTCGCATCCACTGTCGGCTTACGCGTTCCTTGCCCATGTATTCCGCGATGGTTTCCGAAGGCACAACGATTCGGGATTCATCCATGGGGTTAAAGGGCATGTCGAGGTCGGGAAGGTACTGCTGGATGCTGCGCACAAGACTGAGCCATGAGTCTAACCAAAGCGCTTTGTGGTCGGTGATCGCGGTCGCTTTATGCTTGCGAACAGCGATGCGGGGTTTGAGACTTTGCGCTTGTCGTCGGATCTCCTTTGGTTCCAGACCCCAGAATGGATTCAGGTCATCATATATTTGGTCGAAAAAGTCCTCGATAATGAGTGCGTCCTTGGACCTAGCGAATTCGAACCACTCCTTGAAGCCTGGAGGCGGATGTCGATCCCGACGGCGACGATATTCCTCCGTTGCGGCCTCGAAAGTTTTGGCCTCCTTTCCCAGCAGCGATCGCCATTCTGCATCGGCGTTTAGGATGAGTTGATCGATCGGATGGTCTCCTGATGGTGATGGTGAATCTGCGTGGTTGTACGGAATATTAAATCCCACGGGTTCGTGGCTCCGACCACCAAACAACCAAAACCCCAGAGTAAACGAGACCCCTAAAAATATAAGAACGGCCGATCGAACCCTCAACGGCGACAATGTCACCATGTTGAAGGGGGAATGGCGATGAAAATAATCACACAGAGAGAGATTCAGGAAAAATTATCGCAACCGAGGTGGCCCTTCAGCGCCTTATTAAACACGGGGCTCTCGTCCCAAGTCAGCCAACGCCATGTCCTACACTACCGGGGCTGAAACTCTGCCAGTTGGATCTCGAAGATTTTTTGGAGCAAATCGATTTGAAAGCGGAAGCGGAAACAGTTTGGCCACTTTAAGTACGGTACTAACCTTTAAGAGTTAACGACCGTATCCATAGGGCATGACTAGAGTAAGACGCCTGGTGACAGCGTCGCAAAATGCCCGAAGTGAAAGCCGTCTTGGCCCTGGTATGGAGTCCCACGGAATGCAACGATTGGTTTAATGTTCAATTCCATGCCAAGTGGAGGATTCTCGATTGCCAAAAGGGGCTTATTTTGAGGATCAGATTAGGTTAAGGTTCTTCCAGTTGATCGACTCTACTATGTGCCGTGATGCATACATATGATGGATGAGATTCAACCCTTTTCCCCCTTCTTTGGCCCAAGCAGTCGTACGACATCCATGTGCAAACTGCAAAGCTCATGCCCTTCACGTTCAGGTGACTAATTTATTGGCTAGAATGGTACCATCAGCCCGGCGCTAAACAAGGATTAATCCTACATATCAATTATGTGTAAGCACTACTGTGTCCGTCGGAATTGGTCGCCAACCTTGAAAAGGGCACCGACATATTTCTCCTCGTTGCTTTGCCATATACCCTGCCTGCAATTGAACTATTGAACCTGTAATACTATTATGAAGTGCCGCAGTTACGGCAAGAAAAAGAAGGGTTCGTGGACGATCACTCCACGAACCCTTCTTCCCTATTTGGCGCAGACACCGAATGGGGAAATCTCGGCGGCATTTGGCGCTTCCGCAAACGTCTTTAGCAGTTCCACACTGGCACAGCTCCCGAGTGGATTACTTACAGTAGACTGCGAGAATCAGCCATTATTACATTACTATCATCTATCATCGAGCTGTCTGTCTTGGTGAGTGCCTTAGGGGTCTTTGTGGAGTCCAGGAACTTCAATCTGGCCCAATCGGAAGTCCCTCGCCGCCGACAACCTGAGATATTTGAGGTATGGTTATAGTTGTTCATCCTCCGCGCCGTGCACCTAAGATGCCTTAATATAAAAATCATATAGCAAATCGAGATTGTGCTCACAGTTGGTACCTTTCCTCTCAAGCTGAATAAGAGGAGAGTCTGTCTGCTCCCCCTCCATCAATCTCATCGAATGTAGGAACATGCTCGCCAACATGTCTTGTATTGACCTGAGCTCAGTAGCTCATATCGCCGTAACGACCATGATGCCGGTCCTTAAGCATGATCAATCATAAGTCACGACGACGGTGGATTCGTTTCATGCAACTACTGCAAGCGCCGTGTTCCGCCCAAACCCTGAATATAATATAGCATCTTGCCAAATGGCACCATAATCACCTTTGCAAGTGCGTTTCCCAATTTAGTCTTTTGTTCTCACTGACCCTTGCAGTCACCGATCTCGAGACAATCGACCTGTCGAGGTCATGGCAGAACTCCGATCCCGGCCTCTTCAATTACATCGCAAAGCCGTGGAATGCATCCGACCTGGCTGACTATCCCCTGTACCTGAACGAAGGAGCCTCCTTCTCTAACGGCGAAAGCCTCTTTTTCTACGGAGCCTAGGCCAGCGAGTGGGGAGGGCCCCCTGTCCCGCCGCTGGCAACGTGGAAGTACGACACAAATAACAACTGGACCAGGGACGGGTTCTGGGGCGTTCCCGTCGTGAGACTCACACGGGGAGGCGCGGTCCAGTCGTCGCTCGATAAAAAAAAGCTTACTATCTAAGCGGCACGTTGCACCCTGCCGGAAACCCTGTCTTCCATAACACGCCGGGGCGGATACGTCCATGACCCCGGGACTGATCACACTAGATATGAATGCCCTCGAGTGGACCAATGCATCTACTGCCGATATGGACACTTTCGAGACCATTGGCGATGGCTACGTGAGTCTTATCGAATCTGCGGGTGACCAGGGCCTCCTCGTCGCTTTTGGGGGATATACGTATCCCGTCGGCAAGAAGCTTTCTGTTTTGGCTGCGAGGCAGAATGATACTACTCATCAGGTATGGATCTTTTTTTCTCTTTCGTTCTCGGTTCTCTAGCTAACGGGGATAGGACTTAGAATTCAGTGGAATTCGCTCGAGTCTACGACATCGCGAACAAGAAATGGTACACGCAGCTAACAACAGGCGATATTTCCCGCTGGCGAATGGCCGGCTGCAGCGTTGTAGCTGCGTCCGACGATCTGTCGTCCCATTCAATGTAAGCCATCCCCATCCGGATCTTGTGCTCAATCTCATGGCTCAAAGATCAGTAGCTATGTTTTCGGGGCATGGCACAAAATACAGGGGATTCCGACGGCGACGTCTACGTCCTCTCCCTGCCCTCTTTCCAGCGGATTCGTCCACCGGGACAACACTATCCGATACCAGCACAAATGCCAGCTAGTCCAAAAACATACCATGCTAGTTATTGGAGGCATTATCCCAATTGATGGGATGGAGTATTATCCCCAGTGGCGAAACTACGACACCGCGACCTTCGCTAACGGAATCGGGATATTCGATCTGCAGACTCTCTCGTGGAGGACCAACTATAACGCCAGTGACGTTGAAGGACATGCGATTCCATCCAAGATTTCGGACGTGATTGGCGGGGGTAGGTTCTCATCATTACACTATAGTAACTATAGTAACTATAGTAACCCTTTCTCGAGCTCTTCCACTAAACACTATCTATCAGTCCAACCGGCGCCGCAACCCTTACCGAACCAAAAAACGGCTTCAACAGCACACAGCTCGCCAGCCTATTCAAAAAGCGCGGCGTACGACCACCTACCTCTACCGCAGTCTCACCCAGCACTTCCGCAACATCCACATCAACATCAACGCAACTCCCCGCAGCAGCAGCAGCATCATCCTCATTATCATCCGGCGCCATAGCCGGAGTAACCGTTGGCTCTGTCGCCGGTGCAGCCGCCATCGGCGCACTAGCCTTCTATCTGCTTGTCCTCCAACGACGCCGTAAAACCAGGCTCGCGAAGCAGAGCATGCCCTCGTGGGTGGATCTGCCCGCGGGTAAATCCCATAAGCGTCCCCAGATTTACCCGACTGAGCTGCCGGGTGGGCACTATCCTCCGGCGTTTGAGTTAATGGGTGATGGGGTGGTTCGGAGGGCTGAGATGCCGGCCGAGGGAAATCGTTAGATGACATTGGGTTAGGGTTGTGTGCGTGATGTCTGTATGTTGAATGTGATGTATTGTCTATAGCGTTTTGCCTTGCATGTGGCATGTATATATCTATGCATTATGCATTGATGTAGATTATTCTATACACGCTAATTACCATCTCCCCCTGTCTAGCCCCAATAGAATAATACCATATTTGACATACCGGAGCTAAATGTCGAGAAAGGTAGACCCCCATCAAAGCTTCCCCTTCTCAGCCACACTCACAGAGACAGTATCGAGTTCGACGAGTAACATCCCCTCGACCACATCCTCCTCCTCCCCATCCCTCCTCACCTCAAACACCCACTTGACCCGTCCCGCGCGCGGACTCCTTACCTCCAGCTCCATCTTCATCTGCTTCACGAACGCAACAACCTGGTCTTTCGCGATAGTCTCACCAGGCTTCACCAGCACCTCGATCAACTTCCCAGATAGCGGGAGGACGATATGTCGCGGGTTCGACGGGTCACCGCGGCGATGGCCCGAGACGAGGGCGCTAGCTGCGGTGGCTGCGCCTGTGGCGGAGAGGTGGAGTTTGTATGGAATGGACGCCGATGGCGTTGTATACTCTATTTCAGCGGTGAGGGAGGAAGGGAAGTCATTGCGGAGGACGCGGGAGAGACGCAGGTGCTGTCTGATTTCTCCCGTCTCTTCTTTTGACGTTGGGGATAGGGCTAGAGGGGAGAGGGAGATGCTCCACGCGTCGCCACGGCGGAAAAGGAGGGACGATGATGTCGGTAGCTGCAAGCCTGGCCGAGCCGGCTTTTGGTGATGAACCGAGACAAGCGAGGCGGAGATGCGTTCGCCTGTTCCCAGGACCGCCGGGAGATTCCGCTCCAGCCACTGCGTGTCGATCCTCCCCTCTAGAAAGTCCTCGGTTGCGACAATCCCCCGGAGGAGGGGCAGGTTCGTCTTGACCCCTTCTATACGGGTATCGCTCAGCACGCGCCGCGCTTTCCGCACGGCAGACTCCCAGCTCGAGGCGGTGACGATGATTTTCGCGAGGAGGTTGTCAAAGTCCGAGGCGACGGTTACTGGGGGGACGAGGTGGCTGTCGACGCGGACGCCGTGGCCGGGGCCACGAAGAAGTCGGTGATTTTGCCGATGCTCAGCGCGAAGTTGGCGCTGGGGTCTTCGGCGCAGAGACGGAGCTGGATGGATCGTGCTGAGGGTTGTCTTGATATTGGCACAGACTCCGTCAGGATGGCCTGGAGAGATTCGCCCGGGCTAACCGCAGCTGCGCCTGTACGAGATCCACCCCGGTCACGGCCTCGGTGACGGTATGCTCCACCTGTAGCCGGGGGTTAATTTCGAGGAAGTAGAATTCGGGCCTGCTCTCGCTGACGAGGAACTCGAACGTGCCGAGCGATCGGTAATGGATGGTACGGGCGATACGCAGCGCCGCCTCAATTACTCTGTTAATAATCGACCGGTCCAGCAGAGACGGGGCACACTCGACAATCTTCTGGAACCGCCGTTGCACACTGCAGTCTCGTTCGTGCAGGTGGTGGACGGTCCCTGTCCCGTCGCCGAGGACCTGCACCTCGACATGGTGGAAGCCGTCCACGGCGGCCTTTTCAACGAAGACCGTCTGCGAGTGGGACTCGCTCCGGGCTCTGGCCACCAAATTTGCCAGCTCGGATGCCTGGTGCTGGTGGATCAGCCGGATCCCTCGTCCGCCGCCCCCGTCGACTGCTTTGATCATGACGGGGTATCCGACTTTCTCGACGAACGCGCGGATCTCGTCGAGAGATTGCGCGCTGTGAGATGGGAGCACTGGAACCCCGCAGGACGCAGCCAGAGCTTTGGCTTGCAGTTTATCGCCTGTTCGCTCGAGGATCTCGGCCCCCGGCCCGATGACAGTCACCCCGATTTCGTGCATGCGGCGGGCGAACTCGGCGGATTCGCTGAGGAAGCCGTAGCCTGGGTGCACGGTGTCAATGCCATGTTCTTGGCAGATTTTTACGACCAGGGATATATCCAGGTAGGAGGCTGCAGACGGAAGCGTGATGGTCTGGTCGGGGTGGCCCAGTTGACAGTGCGATGTGTCGTTGGGAGTCGATAGGGCAACTGTGTGTACAGGGGGTGAAAGCTCGCGGGCAGCTTGCAAGATGCGCACTGCAATCTCACCTCTGTTGGCTATCAGGAGTTTTTTCATCATTGTTGAGTGTATCGATTTGGTAGTGTTGTGTAGTTCCAAGTCTAGATATAGATATGGAGAAATGATGCGGGGAACGAACCTCGGCTCTCGGTTCCCCCGCAATTTCTTATATCATTCTAGCCATCTTGCACAGTATCAATTACATTGAAGCATTTGAGGAACCTACAAAAATGAAAGACGACACGGCTGCCAAACGTCTCAATCAACTCTCCTCCCACCTATCAACACCCCAACTACCACCAGACTACTCCGACGTCCTCTCCACCATCGACACCCTCAAAGAAATCGCCGCAACCCCCAACCCTTCTCACCGCGGCTACGCACGCCAGAAACAAGCTGGCAAGCTCTGGGTCCGCGAGCGCATCACCCAGCTCCTCGACCCCAACTCCTTCGAAGAGATCGGCTCCGTCTCCGGCACCGTCACCTGGAAACCCACCGGTCCCACGTCAGAAGTCCCCGAATCCTTCACGCCGAGCAACAATGTCCAGGGCTTCGGGAACCTCCGCGGCCGACGCGTCCTCCTCACAGCCGACGACTTTAGCATCCGCAGCGGACACGCCGACGGCTCAACGGCAGACAAGACAATCTACGCCGAGAAGCTAGCCATCGCGCTCAAACTGCCCGTCGTCAAGCTCGTCGACGGCAGCTCCGGCGGCGGCAGCGTAACCACCATCCGCAAAGAAGGATGGAGTTATCTCCCCTACGTGCGCATGTACGCGCAGGTTGTGGAGCAGCTGAACAAGGGCATTCCGAATCTGGGGGCTGTCGTTGGACCTGCTGTAACCTCCCTCTCCTTGCCTTGTTTCCCATTCCTCTGGGGGGGGGGGCGCTGAACTTTCTACTAAGCGATGATGATAGATCGGTCTCGGCGCAGCACGCGTCGTCTCATGCCATTTCTCCGTCATGGCGGCGGATATCGGTGCGCTGTTCAACGCCGGCCCGGAGGTGGTCGCCAACGCCACCTTCGAGGAAGGACTGGATTTTCAGGATTTGGGCGGGCCAATGGTGCATTGCACCAACGGGACGATTGACAATCTTGCTGCCAATGAGGCCGAGTGCTTCGAACAGTTGCGGACGGTGCTCGGGTTCCTGCCTAACCATGGCGGCGAGGCGCCCCCGTCGTGAAGTGTGAGGATCCGGTGGACAGAGAGGACGTCGGCTTGCGGAGTGTTATTCCGCGGCGTGCGGCGAGGATGTACAACCCCTACACCATTATCAGGTCTGTAGTGGACGCGGGCTCCTGGTTTGAGATCGGGGGTTATGGGGCCGGACAGCGATCGGGGGCTGGCGAGACTGGGTGGTCGGCCGGTGGGGATCATCGCGAATAACTGCGAGGTGAATGGGGGTGCGCTGGATGCGGCAGGCAGCCAGAAGCTGGCGCGGCTGCTGAAGCTATGCGATGTGATGAATCTGCCGGTTGTGCAGTTTGTGGACGTCCGTATGTCTTGGTCTTTTCCCTTGCGACTGTAAGAAAAAGATGCTAAAGACGCTAATGCTAATATGTAGCCGGATATGCTATTGGGACCGTCGCCGAACGCAACGCCACGATGCGCTGGGGGGTGGAGCTGGCTAAAACCTACTTTGCCACGACGACTCCTATCTTCAACGTGATTACAAGGCGTGCGTATGGCGTTGCCGGCGGGATCATGCTGGGTGCCCGAGACCCCGTCGTTCAGGTTGCCTGGCCTTCCGGGAACTGGGGGTCTCTGCCACTGGACGGGGGCATCGAGGTGGGCCATCGTCAGGAACTGCGAGAGGCAGAGCAACGGGCGGCAAAGAGAGCAAGGCTGCCCGGTATAAGGAGTTGGAGGAGGAATATCTGCGGCTGATGAATCCCGTGCGGACGGCCAATGCGTTTGGGGTGCAGGAGATTGTCGATCCCAAGGATACAAGGAAGATCTGCTGCGGATGGGTCAGACACGTGTACGAGGTGTTGATGGCTGAGCGGTTGGCTTTGAGGAATTGTGGGAAGATCCAGCCTGTCTTTTCATAATAGTCTACTGCATAGTCAGGCAATCTACACTAGCTTCCACACAATTGTAATATAGAGCCCAACATACGTAATCTCCTCGGGTAAAGAACGGCTGAGATGATTTGTTGAAAGTCATTTCCCCCGTGCTTTCCCGTCCATCTCTCCGGTCAGAACTCTAGAAATGCAAAGTACGAAACAGATCTCCTTTTCAAAGCAACAAGCCTATATCAAATGACAGGGCCATAGTGCTCTCCTTTAGCAAGTATTGCGGCGGACAATAGCCCTCCACTTGTCCAAGAGGTTCTCTGGGATCGCAATGATTGATGATGACCTGCGCCCCCTGGGCAATGTTGTAAAACCCAGGAAGAGACTTGGGCGAGGTGTTCTACAAGGTCCATTATTAGCTTCAGTTCTCTAAACCCAAGGCAGAGATACTCACATCATTGCACCACCAAATAGCAGAGTTACAAGAGCAGCTTGTGGTAAGAGATACGCGATTGCCACCGCACCCAGTGAATGTGCGCCGACCTCTTTGGCTATGCCCTTCCGTACCTTGGCCCGTTCTCGCCAGTTGATCGTCTTCTCTTCCTTCTGCATCACTTCTCAGCCTGACCTCAGCAGAGAATCTCCCACAGGCGCATCTGCCATGTCGAACTCCCTCGCCATCGGGATAACCTGCGGCCTCCAGGCTTCCGTATCCAGAACATTCCAGCACTCCAGTGTAAATCGAAAATGGGGTGAAAATGGGGTGTCTTTCCCGTGGTCTATAGCCCACTGGTTCGTGCGGGCGACGACCCATGCAGGAGTGTTCGAGGCCCCAAGGTGTTAATCCTGGTGGGCGACTGCTGAAAGGTGTGGCTACCATATCCCCCGACGAAAAGGAACCTGGCCGCAATGAGAACGGTGGAGGGTCAACGAGGGAAGCTCTTGCGGATTTGGAACACCGCGGGCCGAAACCTCTTTCCGCCCCGCGAGAGGAACCTACTGTTATACCCCAATGCCAACGCAACTAATATGCAAGAACTTTATATATAGACCAATGATATCTTACAATGTAATTTGTTCTATATCATCGCGGTATCTGTTTTATGTTCTCGTGGCTGTGCAGTTTAACCAATAAGGTATCCTTCGTCACCGAGGCGCAGCGCTAGACGCTTTATTAAGGGCGATTCATGCCCTGGTTTAGGAGCCAGAAAATCGAACTATTCCTCCTCCAACCCCAAGTTTACAATGGAATCTAATCCCCAGAGATCTTGCTTGATATACTTGAGAGACTTGACTTAAAAGTCACTTTCAATGTATCCTTGGTTTCAAGGAAAATGCGAAGTTTAAGCCGTCCTTTGCTTTTACGAACATTTGAAGAGGGGCGTCGGACCACCAGAACGATGCCTGGAGCGTTGGAGGAGCTTTTACCAGCAGCTCCTGACGGATCCTTCCAGTCCATTGCCCACCGCCAGTAGTGGTCGACCTTATACAGCGGCCGAGGATGAGGTCCTACAGAAATTGGTGGCTAGAGGCCTCGCCTGGGACGAAATTGAGAAGGAGTTCGGTCTGCGCTTTGCTAAGAGGACTTTGCGGTCACTGCAGATGCGTTGGTCAAGAAACCTGAATATTACAGCTCGGTCGACGAGATGCTCAAAACGCTATGCAAGTTTCCGTGTCTCTCGAGTACAGTGGAATGAAAACAAAGCAAAGCAAGGGAAGAAAAAGAATCCCAGGAAAGATCTAGGGTTAGCGACCATGACGGTTTTATTCCACGTATTTAGCATTGAGCTTCTTCCACATCCGTGCAGCGCCAAGGTCTTCATCCGACTGCTGCATTGGCTGTAAAAATTCATATCCGGGCATTTGCAAGTACATTACTTGGTGCTTCTGTTCAGAAAATGATAACATCAGCATATCTAGTACGTACCCGACAGCGGCAGTAAGGTGCTGTTATAGGCAGCGTGCTTACCTTCCCCATGGTCAATTGAAGAGCTCCTTCGAAAGGATGGGGATTGTACTCCTTTAAGGTAGGGCTGCCACGAATCATGGCAAGTATGTTCTTGACAGTAATGTCTCCTTGAAGCATACAAGCGCGTCCCTGCTTCGGACCTCCGGTTCGGGCAACATCACCTAAGGCAAAGATGCGCCCGTGATGAAGCAAATCTTGTCCACTCCGCGAAGAACTGGATTCCTGAATCCCAACCTGCAACGTAGGCTTGACGATGATTTCTCCATTTGCGGCAAGAGAATTTGCAGCATGCGGGAGCATGAACTTCGAATTCGGCCTCAGACCAGTACACTGAATCTACAAAGACCGGTCAGACCGCCAAACATCCTGTATGACTAGACATGACATGTTAATATGAACTCACCACCAAATCGAAATGCCTCTTAGATCCATCCGCCATGGTGAGCACCATTGGCCCTTGCGCTTCCCCCAGTGCAGAACGCGGGATCTCAGGCCTCTCTCGGAGCAGGATTTCTACACCCCTCTTCTGCAAGTCAGCCATCACATACTCATGGATCTTAGGCCCAAACCGGGGCAACAATTGGTCCCTCGAATGAATCAATGTAACATGCTTCCGCCCATACTCCTCCTTTATTTCTGTCACTAGCTCAATACCCGCTGCGCCGCCACCGATGACAGCGATCCGCTCCGCGTCACGTATCTGCCGCTGGCATTCCCGTAACTCGGCAGTCGCTTGTTCCCGAGAAACAGAGCGAAGCCTTGTTGGGGCAGGTTGCGCTGCACCCGTCGCTATGACCAGGTAATCATAGGGAACGATATTACCATCAGTAAGAGTCACATGGTTTTCGTCTAGATTAACCGTTTTAGCTTCGCCTTGGACATGCTGAAAGATGCCCGGAGGCGCAGACCCAGCGAGGCGATCGTATGGGATGAAGGCCTGCGACTCACGGCCGCCTAGCACGGCTAATCGGGGAAATGCAAAGGCATAGTGGAAATGGGAGTTTTTTTCGAGCAGGGTAACCATCCATCCTGAGGGGAGGGTATGGGCGAGACGTTGGGCAACGTGAGAACCGGCGAAGGAACCTCCTAACACAAGTACTTGGCGTGGCGATGGATGAGGACGGTAGTTGATGCGATGAATGTAGCTTGAGACTCTGTCTAACCCCTGCTGAACATTATGTTTGGCACTCAGGTAGTAGAATTGCAGAAAGAGCTTTATCTTTTGGAGAGACATTAGACTTCTGATGTGGGCGAGGCTGGAAAGAGGTGAGAATCAAAGAACATGCGATGTACTGCGCAATCTGCTGCAGCGAGTTAGATTGATAATAATATTTTGGGAGGATACTCTGCATTTTTACCTCTTATACTCCTTTTCTTCCGTCAATTCCGCCGTCCTAGCGATCTCCGTCCCGCTCGGAGTCGGCATAGTTTTGTGATATATGGATTTATCTCCGATACGGTCTTTTCTGGTTCAGTCCCACAATGAGTTAAAAGGTTCCTTGTGCCACATAGCGGAATAATAGGCCCTTCCTTGGGTAGCTATACACTATTATACAAATGAATATACCGCAGCCATGTAAAGGCCAAAATCCGACGAAAAGCTCAGGGCCGGTTTTCATAAACCGAGCAATGGCAACTAACGCGGTACCAGCAAGATAGAAAAACTCCCGCAAACACGTTCGTTCCCATGTAGGATCCACCCTCATGTGCTAGTGTTCCCCCGGCAAATCGTGTTCGTGACGAGACCCGGGATGGAGGCAAAGAAAACGTGAGCCCATTGTGATATCTGCACTCTTGTGGAGGAGAGACCTGGGCATCCAGAGCCAAGACTAGTATGCCCAACAACGCGCAGAAGACGATGTATATGCTGTACCGACCCAGCCTGTTGGCGACGAGCCTGGTTCCAAACCGGCTGAAGAAACTATGGAATAATTAGCAAGGAAATCATGAGCTGGGACATCCAACCTACCTTGCTGCATTTAGAATTGGGACAAGGCACTGGGATAACTAAATAGACATCCCTTCTGAAGCTGCCGAGACGGGCTATATAATTAATGGGAATGAAAATCAAGCAAGACAGCTAAAAGCTGCCACAACAAGCAGAAAATACGGGTTCATGTAAGGGATGTGGAGATCCTGTATGGCGAGCTTTTGTGGTTGTGCAGATACTTGGAACTTGACTGTAAGACTGGCAATAATGAGCAAGAAATAGAATCATGAATGCTGCTATCCGCATAGCCCATACTTAACCCACTTCCGTGATAAGGTGAGTGACCTATGATCAGAAATATGATGCCACAGGACTTTGCTGCAGGCACAGAGGTGGTCCTAGAGTAGGTCCGTTATCAGACGAGCCATTTAAGGTGCAATATCTAACCAACCATCTCTCGTGATTAGCAAAATCTTGCGTCAACTCAGGATTCCTCTACTAGGGCTCGTTGATCGGACCGATCCTGTTCCAATAGTTGGTTCAGCGACTTGTCTCTACTTGATGGACCTCAACTGCTACTATAAGATTAGACAGCCCGTATCCTTTGCATGGCTATCTGCTTTCCTGGCACATTGGGCCTACTTAGTCCTTCCTGTAATGTCCTAGTTCAAAAGTGCCGTAGAGACATCCTCTTGGGGCTTGTGCGCAACAGTCTTAATCGGATCATCATTGGCAAAGAAAATTTTGGTCAAGGCTTGCTACAAAGTGATATATGTGAATGATGGCAAGCTAGTTCCTGAGGCAGCTTTCTATACTATAACACTGCTGGAGACTGATACACTGCTAATGTCGAATGGTTTTGTGATTGTCACGGGCTAGAAGATCTCAGTCCGCGGCTTTACTCTAGCCGTCCCAATAGGCCACGAGGAATGAAATGGAACTGCTTAAGGAGGAAGAAACTAGGTACAGGCGGCGAATGTACTAATCAATGTAATGACTAGTAACAAGCTCTCACCACGTGGCCACAGCCGATGACAGTAATATTAGCGTTAATTATCAGTAATACTTCAAATTGTCCAACAAATGCTATTGAATTCGGTTCGGAACTGGGAGTTCAGCGTTGAGCTTTCCTTATCTGAGTAAATTTCCCAGGCCTAGCGTGACTTCTTGGCATCGGCAGGCTCAGGTCTCTCTTGGGTAGAAATATCCAGCTCCTCATAGTACGGCAGGTCCCATGCATTCTTTTCGCGCAGAAACCATTGGGCAACCGCATCAATGCCTAGCAAAGCAGCCAGCCACAAGATAAAGTGCATCACAGAAATGCCCCATCTGGTCTCCGGGGCTACAATATTTGGCATACCGGGACCTAGTGTTTGTACTTCTTTCATGAAGGGTCGAAATTTTCTGTCATACTCGTTCAAAGCGGTGAACAGAGGGTCCTTGGGACCATCGGAAGATTCAAGACGACCACAGTACTTGGCAATCTCCCCTGCCAAGACATAGGCTCCGGTAAGGCTCGATGTGGTGCCCATCCCTGTGGCGGGAGAGGGACAGTAGGCAGCATCCCCAACGAGAACAACTCGACCACGAGACCAAGAGTCCAGCCTCACTTGTCCCACCTTCTGAGAGTAGAAGTCGTTCGCCGCCGTGTCATTCTGCATGTCACGGATGATTCGCGGTGTCTTCCAGGCAGCATCAGCGAAGAGTTGGGCCCAGACTTCTTTTTGCTCCTGAATATCGCTCTTTCTGACATTTTCCAGTTTTTCCGAGGCAGCACAGTAGCCGAGATATGCTTGAATCGTGTCCCGAGCATGTCTTCGCGTGAAAACAAACCGCTTCCTGGGAGCGTTATAAAGCGTGCTAACATATTCATCCCTTCCTCCCGGGGAACCGTGAAGTATGCAATGTAAAGGCCGAGAAAGTGGAACGGATCTGGGGCGTCGGGTCCTAGCATCATCCGCCGAGTATGCGATCCTTGTCCATCCGCACCCACTACTAGATCAAATTGATCTTTCTTGCCGTCGGAGAATTTGACCCTGACTAAGTCGCTATCCTGCTCGAGCCTCTCGACATGTACACCAAATATGTAGTTGACACGGTCCTTGGTAAGGTTGTACAACATGCGACAGAGGTCTCCTCTCATAATTTCATAGTCGGTTGTGAAACTCTGCAATCCCTTGCCGGACTTGTTCACCGGGTAGAAAGCTTTCTGTTTACCGTGATCATCGACGAACTGCATGCCGACCTCGCTTATTCCTTGAGAGCGGAAAAGGTCCTCGAGGCCCATACGTTTCATGACTTGAATTCCGGGTCCCCGTAGATCTAGCTGTTGCCCACTGGCACGCAAACAGGGGAATCGTTCGACAATCGTAACATCATGCCCCAGCTTCGAGAGCCAGAAAGCAAGGGCGGGGCCAGCGATACCTCCGCCGCAGATAAGAATTTTCAGGGGTGCCATAGCGTGGGCGTGGTACTTGATGGACAATAGGCGCTAGTTGGTTGGGGTTGTGACAATAATGTTTGACGCTGGAGCTTCGCAGTTCTGCTCGTGGGCACCGGTGTGTCTCGTGTACCGACGAGGTGTGGGCGCTTTATATGCAGGGTCGGATTAGGAGGAGTGAGCATTGCTTTCCTCGGAGCCGACATGCCATGAGGCTTTGCTATTCTCCGTAGTTACGGCCGGTTAACGCGACGCAGATCAGATCTCCGAAGACTTAACATCGGCGGCCTATTCAGCTACCCTCTTCGGCTTCTTGCCGGCCTTAAATGGACTCGGATATTGCCGAATTGCTCGGGCATAGGAGCTTCGGGTTATGGCTTTCAGTGACATGCCTTGCCCCGTTTAACCGCCGTCCACGCTTTTCCTTTACCTTATAATTGAATCGATACGAGGGTAATATCGTCCCAATCGAAGAGCAAGCCTGAAGAATGCCAATTCTAGAACAATAAACAAGGATGTGAAAGTCTTCAATGCCTGGTAGAGCTTAAACGGGAAAAGCCTCATGTCAGCCATATCTTACCACTATCGAATCCGGAGAGTATCAGATATTGATATTTAACCGAATTCTGGCTGGGCCAATCAGATCGCTGGATTCTACCATGGATTCAACTCGCCGGATTTTACCGAGTTTTCATTTAGTCGATTATAAGTAGTTAGTTAGATATCTAGTTTGCCAGAAATCAGCCCTTCATTCATCCCGAATCATACCCTTTACTAGCGATTACCATAGATTCGCTATCATCGGGGATCGGTTGACACCTCAGTTTTTGTTCGCCCTAAGCTCCGGTTCTGACTACATCGGAGATAAAAAGACGGATGAACCACGTGACATTAACTAAGAAGAACCGTTCGGACTTCGGGTCAAGCCCTGCATTGAAAGAGAACAAATGCTCCGACAACCAGTTATGTCCAGCTCAGAGGCTTCCGTCTGTAGCATATCAACGATGTGGTTAAAGAACGTCTGTTTGCTAACCGGTGTGGTTATTTGCGGGCCGGAGAATGTGATGGCCCTGAGGAACGGAGGGCCTTAAAATCGATCTGATCAATATATTGTAAGCCCTCAGCAGAACAAGCTACTCTAGCCGCCAGATGGGTGATCTGGAGGCGGGCGGAAGACTTCTTTTCTGTCCGAAAAGCCTGGCCCTGCAGTACATTATATGATTGATAGCTTATCCCAGATAAAACGGGGTTGTACAAAATGATTCCAGCAAAGCAGAAAGACAGACAAAGGCGGTCATCACATTGTGACTCTTCTGGGACGGCTACTCCAGAGCAATTATCCGCCACCTTTCAATCCCGAAACGGTGTTGACTTAGAGGCACAGGTGGCCTTGAGAGCTTTCAGATGTCTATACAGCTATCTGTAGTTACTTTTATACCTGTAACTTCCTGATTAGGCGAGACTTGTTCATAGCGAAGAAGGTGCCTTGATCTTTTCGCCGAACGACGGCCTTGCTCAATACTTCCACTCTTATCTACTTACTGTAACAGTTGACCTTGCCCATTTACTAGGCTATCTCTTATTGTCTGCCTCGACTGCAGGTTTACCCACGCATCCTCTCCTTTCCGCCCCAGTTGTGGTAGTCTAGGTAGCGGTAGCCCTGTGTAAGCTGAGCAGCAAGGTTGGTGGAGTGGCATAAGAAAAGGAGGTAATTCTTCGGTGTTATAGCGAGCGCAAAACGCATGAAAGTGGCCGCGTAGATGACCAGAACGCCTGTCATCTTTCCCGATATTCTGCGAAGGGTCAGATACTACTCCTCGAAGACCATAGCTGCAGTCTTACAATTCGGGACTCTTTTGCGTGTCCATGACAGCGGCTATTGGAATTCCGAAGGTCGATACTGGGCCCCAGAAGTCTACCGAAAAAGCAATTAGCCATCTCTCCACCCGTGATCGTCCTGCTGTATGTCTCGGTGAAGGTCTCGCGCCTTTGACGCAGCTCAGGGCCAACAGGCAAGCTGTTGACTTTTAAATAGATTGATCCAATCTCACATATTCACCTGTAGAGTTTCGAGCATGCGACGGATGATCAACAACAATCCAGAGAGGACCCAATCCTTCCGTCACCCGGCGTAGTGGGAATAATGAGGGGAAACTTTTGGATCGTACGTACGGGTGGAGCAGAGATAATCAAGCGTTGCATTGGACCTGATCTTCGCATTTACGAACTTGACAAATGCAGCCATTTCGAAGAGTGTGCCTCCGTCAAAGACTCTTGAAGGACGAAGAATGATTTTGAGGCGCTTGGAAGGTCCGATGACCGGAGCCCCAACGGAGATGTGCATGGCGGAGTTATGCAGGTGGATCCTTGTCTGCAGAAGCCCTCACTTCGCATAACGGGCAACTGTGGTCGAGCACGGAGATCAGCAAATGGGTTGCGCAGGCCATACCACGGCAATTCAGAAAAGGCGCTTGGTGCTGACAGGAGTAACTTGTAGCCGCAATGATTACATTTATAACGAAGTAGTAGCAGGAAGTGCACCGGCGAGATATGAGAAATGGAGCTGTGAGGGAGGGAGTTTCCGTATACGCACATTAAGTAGGTCAAATGGCCTGTTCGAGTAGGAATCCCCGCGCTTTGGTCGCCTCAATGTGATTAGACCTACCCAAAAATAAGAAAGGAAAATGTAATCATAGCTAGAGCCTCTACATTAGACTAGACACACAAGATGTATTCCTATGCTGAATTTCTGGCTACACAATTGTCCCTGGATTCTATCCATCCAATAGTTCTCCACTCTCGCTGAACAGAGAAACTTTCCCCGTCAGTAAAGCTTGCTGCAAAGCCCATCCGATCTTCATCACTTTAATCCCCGTCTCCAGAGGGATGGGAACAGGCTTATCATTGACCACTGCATCGACGAACTCATTGGCCTCCCGCGCGAACGCGTCCTCGAATCGCTCCCAGTACTCAGGCTGGACCTCATGTCGCATCCCAAGCTTATCCGCCAGGATGACATTATTCTTCCGCGGCAACACATTCACCATCAGCTTACCTTCTGTCCCCGTGACCTCTGTGCACACATCATGGCCATGGGCCTGGGTCCGCGAGCAGTAGAAGTAAGCAATCTTTCCTCCCCAGAACTCGACAATACCAACAGCGTTGTCAACGTCGGAGAGCTGTTGTAGTTCGGGATGATGTTGGAGTGTTCCAGCTGCCCAGCAAGCCTTTGGAACCGGGTTGTCCAGGAACCAAAGCGAGAGGTCGATATCGTGAATTGCGCAGTCGACGAAGATCCCGCCATTCCGAGCAGCATACTTCACAAAGAAGCCCGACTCGTCCCGGAGGTCGCACGTATTCGATCGGACCATGAACGGCTTTCCGATCGCATTCTGGTTGAAAATTTTGTCGCTTGTATCGCGGTATGAGGCGTCAAAGCGCCGTGAAAATCCTGCCATCACCTTGATGGACGGGTTAGCCCTTGCAGCGTGAATGACGGATTGAACCTATTGAATGGTTAGCTATCACCGCGCCTCCAGGTCTGCATAGGATATGTGGTGAGCGAGAGTATGTGCTATTTACCTCCGCAAGATCAGTGCTCAAGGGCTTTTCACAGAGAACATGGAGGCCCTTTCCGATCGCTGCTAAAGATTGGCTCGCGTGAACATCGGTGCTGGTTGAGATCCAGACAGCATTGAGGCCAGGGTGTGCTAGCATTTCCTCGTAGCTGCTGTAGACAGCAATGCGAAATTCCCTGTACTCTTTGTTTTCTCTAGCCATTGAAGTTCATGAGCATCAGTGCTGCACACTGCCACCACCTTAGCCCGTGGGGTACGATACAACAGGGTGTGTACGTGACGTTTACCCTTCGACGGCTTCGGTAAGTGAGTGCATCATAGACACGGACGAAGGTCTAGCTTACCATGCGGCCCAGACCCGCGACACCAATGTCCAGATTGCGATTCATCGTTCGTGTTCCTGAAGACTTACAATAAAATGGCGGGTCGTTACTCAAACTCAAGTCATTAATAGAGAGAGAGAGAGAGAGACAGAGAGGATTAATAGAGCTAAATCTTTTGGAATTCTCATGCTATTTATCATTTCTAGCAAGACAGCACTATGTTAGTTGCTTTGCTGTGAAGGGCAGCCTTCCGGAGACACCTGCCTCATACGGTCGTTTGACACTGCCAGACTTAGGAGGAGAATAATATGGGTTATAGTTATCGTGTAGACACAAGTCTGACTAAGTAATAATCCCCGCTCTCCGGACTGACAAAGTACTAATTCCCGTCCTGTTTGTCAACTTCGTCACGGGTTAAGCCTATAAGGCAGTACGGAGGTTCTAAGAGGCGTTCTGTAGTAGCCCGGGTCGGGATCACATATGTAAACTAGCCTTCTATCTGACTGCATCCTCTGCTAAGACTTCTGTCAAGCTCCATTGCTCTGTATTTTGATATCTCAATGACGTCCTAAGGAGAAAAGAAGACCTAAAGGGTCCCCACCTGATATATACAAACTTCACATTTAGACTACTTTACAAACTAAGATTTAGATATCGTAGAGGCTTTGGTATTGAGATACTGGAGTTTCGAAAAGTGCCACATATATGGAAACGGCGGCTGGCCTAGAATGGCGGTTTGCCAATTATTCTTGTCGTGTGAGATAGTCCAACCACCCTCTCACAAGAATAACATGGCCCTCGGCACAACCCGTGTCGTATCGAGATATAACTTTTGGTTATCAAGGAGAACTGCGCTGCCGCTAACATCTGTTCCCAGTTGCCGGACTTGAAGGCTCAGAGGCTAACCCAATTCTTATTGATCTGAAAGTTGTCTCCTTGTCTGTGAAAGACGCTGAGATATGCACTTCTCAACAAAGTTTTGACGGCTCTCCTAAAACCCATCTGTATCTCAGATGAGGCTACTGTCTGAGAGAGCCCTGAAAGCCAAACAGAGGACAATGCTGCCGTACGATGTCCACACGGTTCACATCTTCATCCTGTTGGCACTCCTAATGAGAACATGGAAGATCCCCAGTCAGAAAGCAAGTGTGGCGTTGGCATGCGATGTTCTGTCATCCAAATACAGGGCACAATGACGACTACATTTGACTCTTCTGAGCTCCCTGTTTCGAAGAGAGTAGACTCTGCGAGTGTCCTGAGAGCGACTGGCAGGGCACAACTCCCGTAGGGTCTCCACACATCTTGACTGTGAATTCTATTCGCATTCCTGAGGAAAGTGCGGAGGTTGAGCCACGAAGGGACCACGGCATTGCCATGGACAGTGCTCTGGCTCAAACGGAGAGCGCCGCAAGGGCCGCGTCTGGCTCTTCTGAGCTCCTCATTCGAGAACCAGAAATTCCGGCTCTCACTAGGGTTGTCAGCGTCCCTTTGGACAAGTGGCACCTCGGGGATATTGAAACGCTCAAACCAGTCAAAGCATGCCTCACAGGCTGTATATGGAAGGAAACTGTCTATGTCTATCTCCTTGCAATAAACGCACTAATGGCGTTGATGGACTTCGAAGTTGTGAAATCTTCTGCAAAAATGTAGCCACCCTGCCGGGTGAAAGTAGCATATATGCAGCCAGCGGGATTATATAAAGCGTGCGCGGCGATGGTTTTGGCCACGACACCTACTTCCAGCCAGTAACGCTTAGCATGCACGTCTCTTCTCTCTTCACGTAGAGGGGTTTCTATTTGCACACTCACTTTGACATATCCGTAAACAGCTGCAAGTCAGGAAGGCGCTGTACAGGCATGTCCATGGCTCTGCCCCCTTCGACCGGAGGGGGACAGAAGCCACGGATGCTTTCTCGTTTGTTGTAGTAAAGGACTAGTGCTGGATGTCCTCATGCTCCTGTGTAGCTCCAAGGGAACCAGTAAGGGCTTACATACCGATTCAGTGAGCCAAAAAAGAAATGAGGAGAGGGATAAGTGTTGATGTGTCTTATGAAGAGATAAATAAAAAGCATACACCTAGCTGGGTCGCTTTTAGGAGGGCGTGGCTTGGATTTGAAGCCCAGATGCAGAATTCTGTTCCACCCAGCTTGAATCCATTAACTCTATCGAAATCTCCTTTTCTCTGCGAATTTTTTTGAAAGCTCTTTGCTATCACTATTCCATCCTCACCCTCATCCGTTGACGGAACGTCCCACACACTCCCATCATCTGTGCCATGTATGGGTATACTATCATTAGTAAAGGAATGATGTTGCAACTCCAAAAGGAGGTGTCTCACAAAGCAGATATTTACCATATCCTTCAGCATGCACAGGGATCTACAGTTTGAGTTCCAGCAAAGCACAGGAGAGATTCAACATATAGCTCCTTATAAGCTGGGCGGCGAGAACAGGGCTAACATAAAGTGCAATAAGACTCTCTAATGAGCAATTTCGCGGCTAGTGAATGATATATGCTCCTAGGGGTCCTTCACTAGGACCTATGACCAGGGAATATCCTATGGAATGCTGAGCCGAAAAAGGTCCTAAATAATCAATTCCCATTAGTGCACATTAAATCACTGACTAGGCGGTTAGTGTCTCTCAGAAGGCGGCTGTAACTTTCTTGATACAAAATATGAAACGTAAAACACGCTGTATGAAAGTATGCATTCAACTAGTTACAGTGGCTCAGCGTCCAACAATGGCTTCCACAGTGATCGTCGTCGATGCTCTATATGAGTGTGAACAGGAGAAAGATATGGAGGTAATCCTTGAGCTTTTACTCAAGGCCCACCATACATCTCTATCGAGCTTGAGGCTCAACTAACGTGGTCAGGTTTGCGATTGGAATCGTGGGGCGATGCGGGCGTGAGAGGCACGGCGCAGCAGCCCCGGCTTTTATGTGGGCATGATCCTGATTCTGATGTTTGCTGAGGTGTTAGGGTAAGATTTCTTTGTTCTGATTAGGTTTCAATTACTGACGCACTAGGAAGGCCTGTATGGCTTGATTATCGCTCTTTTGATGAACTCTAGGGCAGCTCAGCTAAAGGATAAATGTAGCTGATTGCGGGTTTGGGGCTATGAGGTAGGGTCGATGAATGAGAGCAACTTGGATATGTACAAAGAATAGTATGCACCTAACCAACCAGTATAAGCCAACAGGCACGTGAAGCTCAGGATCGGCGACTATGGCTGAAGCAATGGGATATCTAGCAGTATACAGACACAGCGGCATACAATACATTGTGACAATTCGTGTCGGGAACTCTGAAATTCAACCCCCTGCATTCGCCCCCGCTCCATGTCGTGATGATACAGCTACTGTAAGTTTATTAGCAGATAAAATAATGTTCATCCTGCAGCTCACGTACCTGTTATCAAGCACTCGAATGGATCTCTTGTTCGAGGGAACGGGGACGCATCGTTGGGAGCCCGTGCTAGTAATGGCAAAAGAATCGTCTGTGCCGCCGCAGCTGTCGGTTTCGTACATGTCAAAGGTGGCTAAATTGGTGTTCCCATTATTCGCTGACTGGTTATTGCTGTCCGTCGTAGTGGAAGGGGGAGGATTCGTCGTAGTAGATGTCGGGTTGGCGATGGTGGTATTGGTGGTGGAGGAGGAGGGAGTTGTAGTATCGGTGCCACTTAGTGGTGATACTGAGGGTGTTGATGATGATGATGATGATGATGATGATGATGATGATGATAAAGCCGAGTCACTGTCATTTTCCACTTAGTCCAATCAATCCTAGGAAGAGACGTGAGGTAGGGAGAACACACCTTTGTGCATTATCATTCTTATGGGCAGCGCGGCTACCTAAGACCCCCCTACAACAGCAGCGACCACAATGAGCGCAAATACCACCACAGCGAGGACAATCCACCTCCATCGCGTTTTCTTTTTTTGCTCTGCTGTATCACCAGCTACAAAGTGTGGGCCTGTTTCTGTGGTCCATTGCGTCTGACCTTCTTTATTAACAACATATTTATCGTTGTGCCCTGGCGCGCAAGATGGAGGCTGCTGTGGATGGGCCACAAACTGCGGGGCGCTATTGGGTTCTTCCTCGAGATAGTAACGCTCCTAGATATAGAAGTCAGTCACTGTTTTCTGTGTAAGGTGGAGAGACTGACCATCTGAAGCGTTGTCGTTGATATCAGCAGCGATCAACACGCCGGGGAGCGGTCGGGGGATTCGGAGTTGAGAATAATGTCCATAATAGACCAGGGATTGGGAGAGCAGATGGTACAAAGATATTTAACCCAACAATGCCCAGTTCATCTGTCGAGAGCTGGGGCCTCTCTTAGAGGGTTGCTCCCTGCCTGGTTTGGTATAGCACCAGGTTACGAGACCCATCATGGAGATATCTTTGCTCCTCTTTTCTAGATAGCCATCCAGTATGATTATTCATTCTGATTACGCTCCACAGGTAAGCTTGAAAATCTACACTAGACTACAAGTTCGGGGCCAATTCTACCAATGCCCGCCCTTCTTGGCAGCTGGCGCATGGAGCACTTTGCAGATCTGTGTGGGATAGATGCTTAGCGCCGCATTGAGCCGGATGAGGTCGTGATTTGCGAACAGAGGTGCTGGGTTGCAGTTCAGCAAGGCCTTGGACAAGTTTGATAGGGTCAGGATATCTGGGGTTAAGGCGATACTATCTAAATATAGCAAGAGGGAAAGCATAGTAAGGTGAAGGCAAGTCACAGAATATTGGTCATTGCCTATATGAGCATCATGAAGCAGCAAGACAACATAAATAATCAGGATATCGCTTGTGGACTTATACATCATTAAGAACAAACACCTATCGAGGACAAGTTCTTCAAACCCAAGAATACATTCTGATCTCGATACATATAAGCTACCTTCTCGATGCTCTTAGCGAATGCGACCAGAAGGACCCCGGCATCCGGGATCTGAGATTGCTAATTTCCGAGACCCTCGGTATCACGAACAAGGTCAAGTGGCTTCTATCCAGTCGGCCCGAGGTCGACATCTACGACAAGCCCAGAATCAAGGCGGAGGCACTGGGGAGCGGAGGTGGAAATCGACGTCCGAAGTCGACCGGAGCCAGTAAACGCCGACATGTACACAAGCTCTCCGAGCTCGAGCGTGACAACGGATACAAGATGTTTTGGACGAGATTCGTCTTCAAGGATAGCCCTCGAAAACGATCTGTCCGAATACGAAGCTGTCGGCGTGTGAAAGCCAGCCCTCCTTTAGCGAGTCTTCATGAACGCATGATGGCCAAGATCGAGAGCCAAGGCGGACATGGTGCAGAGGACTTCAGGGGAGTCCTGGCAGCTTCCCGTCTTGCGACTCGACGGCTGTCTTACGCGGGATCCATGTCCTTGCTGGCTTTGCCGGATCGTGCGCGATCGGAGCTCATTGTTCGGAAAACGCGGCTCGTTTGTAACGTCAAGGACGATGTGCTCCACCTGCTTCGCAACTCCACGAAATTATCTGCGCGGCTATTTTGTGTCTGAAGGTGGAATTGATCACCTCATATCGACCTGGCGGACGGTCCATCGATGCTATGTCCGAGAGTCCGAAGCAAAATATCATGATCTCCATCCAGGTGTGGAGTCCAAGGACATCGCGGTGACGGAGAAAGACTCCTTGCGTGTTGTGCGATATCCTTGAGTCTTAGGTGAAACATCTGTGCGAGGTTGAGAAACAAGCATGGGACCGATGGTGCGACTAAGTGGACACACTACGGTAGTCGAGCTGTGGAATGCTGTTACCGGGTGCTGTACCCAGTCACTCGACCTCGAGAAGAAGTGGGTTGGGCTGATATGTCCGCAGTCTTCTCACCGGATAGCACAGTTCTCGCTGCCACCTCTGGCGGCATACAGCTCTGGGATGTCTCCACTGAGGCGTGCAGGCAAAGGTTCGAGGTGCCCGACGACGACCACTGCCATATCTTTAACATTCTCACCGGATGGTGACATTCTGGTACTCGGCGCGGAGGAGTCGGTGAGTCTGGGATATTGATGCTGAGGCGTGCAAAATGGTGCTTAGAGGGCATAGAGAAGATGTCTCGTCGGCCCCGCCTACTCACCGGACAGCAAGACCCTTGCTTCGGCTTCGTCTGACAGGACAGTAAGGTCTGGGATTCGACAGTTGGCACCTGCCAGCAGGCCTTGTCGAAGCGCAGTACTCCTCTCGTTGTGTTCTTGTCGCCTGATGGCAAGAGCAAGAGCCTTTCTGTGGTCAATGACAAGCGCCGTGGCCCTCTAGCCAGACAACAGACTATTGTGTCGACTTCTGGAGATGGACTTGGCATGCAATTGGGACAGCCTTTGCCGTGAGGGTTCGTGTTTGTATAGGCATCTTTGAGGACATGCTATTTAGCCCTAGTATAGCCTCTGGCAATCTCGGTATAGGCGTTGCAAGTAGACAAGCCCTAGTCAACTGATTCCTCGTCTACTTTCTAGTCATAAGCGAGCTGGCAGGGTAATAATAATGCACTTAGGGGTATGCTGGACCTGTAAAGACATAATAAAATGAGGGTCATGCTTTAAGTTGATAGCAGAGCCAAGCATACTTCTTCACCTATTTATCCCTGCGGCATGGATGCTAGATACTTGACAAATTGGGGTCATCGAGTGTGATGACTATATATTATTTGCAAAAAGCCAGATGAGTAAATATCTAGAGAGATAAAGAAGAAGAAGACCCTGAAACAAATCCCAACAATATCTAAATCCCGAATCCATCCTCGGCCCCCAAACCATGTCTCAGATTCCCCCAAATATAGCTCTACCTTTTTTTTCTTTCCTCTATCTGCACTAACTGCAAGTGAAATCCTAGTGAAACCCCTAATCTAATCCTCTTTACCGTATTGCAGGCCATCGCCAAGACACTCCACCGCTATCTCACTTAGCTCCGTTTCAGGCACCCAAGTCTCAGGATGGGATCCACAGATCCGTGTCTGTTTTGCAGGGATTTGGGGGGTTGATGGTTCCAATGTTCGAGAAGGATTGTGTTAGACTATTTCCATAATGCTAGTTTTGAGGTTGCGAAGGTGGTGTATTGGGTTGGATTGGGTATACTGCGTACACGAAAACATGAAAAATGGACATCAAGTTAAACAGGGTATGGTATGTACAGACAAATGATCAAAAAGGAAATGAAAAGAAAAAGAAATAGTAAGGAGGGAATGATCAGATAACCGCCTGCGCCTTGTGACTGTGTCCAGTCAGTCCACCACTGTATTCCAGTCCCATTCTATTCTTCCAATTCAACGTGTAGAGACGGGTAAGAGACCAAAGAAGTGTCGTCTTGTAAGGAGAGGATGATCGGCCAGCCGAGGCGATCGCGCATAGTCAAAGTCAAACTCGCAGATCGCTATCGACTCGTATCCATCTATGGATATAGTGTAGTGTAGTGTATGTAGTAGTTGGTGTATAGAGTAACTCCGGAAATGCATGAGGAAGCCTCCCGCGAAAAAGAATTCGAGTCCCGGCCGGCGGGACAGTCATCGAGTCATGGGTTTTTGATTTTTTCATTCTCTGAGTTCATCCATCGCATCACAGGTCCTGGACGATAGCTCGGTAAGGCGAGTCGTTCAGGATCTCTGATGGTAGGGCTCGTCGGTAGTCTCTGGGTTGTGCCAAAGGCGATGACAATGCCGAGGGCCGACGGAGTTTGAGTGACTATGGCACTGTTAGTATTCAACTGGGAATCTATCTGTAGAGCAGATGATGCATACCACACAATCAGGGCATTTTCCTCCCTCGATGTTGGCGCGGCCACGGCAACCGCGAGGATAGTTGGCGCAAGAGAACATGGTGACAGTACTGCGATAGGAGAACGAGAGTTGACAGCAGTGGGAAGAGTTAGGAGTCGCAGATAGAGAGATGGACGTTTTGTTATTATTGTTGTTGCCCCTTTCTCCTCCACTAATTTTTCTTCCTCTTTTTTTTGCTGGTTTTAGCTTCTTTTTCTCCTTTCTAGGGCTGAAGTTGGGCGTCAAGGCAAACGGTCCGGTGCGGATTTGTCTCAATAGAAATAGAGTCGAGAAGCCAGAAAAATAAGGTAATAATAATATGACACGAAAATAATAATAAAAAAAAGGAAAAAACTAAGCCACACGGCGCAGGCTGACGTCAAAAACACCGAGGGGTGTCTTGCAGACAGACAAGAAGGAGTCTAGTATGGCAGCTAAAGCACGCTTGTGAGGACTGGTCGATGGTCTAGCTCCGCCACAATATTAGCCAGTTGCAGTTGCAGTTGGCTGGTTGTAGCAAAGAGATAGTAGTGAACGAATATCGAAACGAATGAATGAGTGAACGAGTCCAGCTGTCAGGAAAGAGGTCCAGAAGGAGATCGAAGGTAAAAGGGGTTTATATACTACATTCTAGTCTATGCTACGTGCGTTCTATGGAGACTGGCCGGGGATCGGAAGTGAAAAATCCTTCATTTTGCCTCAGTATTATGACACTTAATGAATCTGATCCATCTGTAGATTAAGCCAATCAATCTACGCACCGATTCAACGGCTCAACCTTGACATCCACCGCAGTCTGACTGACAGTCTGACAGCTCTGACAAGGCACTGGGCATCACCGTCTCTATTTCCTGTCTGGTTATGGCTATGGCTATGGGCCAGGTAGAATAATTATGGTCATATTAGGTGATGTTAGTATAGGTAGTAGTCAGCATAATCCGAGATCTACAAACATCAGTGCTTCTACCGGAGTACAACATCAAATGACTTGCAGCGCCTAGTTAACCAGCAATAAAACTAGAATTAAGACTGCCTTCATATTACAATAATAAACCTACAGCCTCACTCCATCAACTCTACTCTCCTCTACTCTCAACCAGCTCAAATAATAGGAAGCATCTAGACAAAGTCCAAATTGCACGATCCACCGCCCCAACCAAGTTTCACATAGAAGCCGTCCTTGTACCTGAACCATATTATCTGGTCTCAACCTAGTCTCAAGTCCAGGTCACACCAGCAAACTCTGAATTTTGAACCTTCTGGAAGCTCTAGAAAATAGACGGATCTGGATCTGGCCTTGGCTCCACTATGACTGACTGACTGACTGTATTGTGACTGTGACTGTGGCTCTGCCTCGGGGAGGATTTGGCTCAGCTACGCTACAGCCTGACGCAGCGTGCTGTACGAGTACACCGTAATTGAGGAGATTATTGTCTGCCTTACAGGCACTATACTGCGTCATCGTGCATAACCAGTGATTTCCTCGGATGAAAGGAATGAATCCTGAGTAGAATACTGCAAGCTTTAATGCATCTGGTCACTTGATCAGTAACGTACACAGAATAGTAGGTAGAGGCCAGAGGAACGGCGGCTTATCCCGCTTCCGAATCATCCAAAAAATATTGGTACATCGTACCTGGTACTCCGTCATATGACACAGTTCCATCCGAGCAAGAGCAAGACTTTGCACTCTGTGGCAGAATCTGAGATAGATTGGTTTCATGAGGCGAGGCGGAGCTCTCTTCTACCTTGACTAACTAGTTTTAGTTATAGTACCTAGTCCTTTAAGAGTACTACTGGTTAGCTCGGGCCGACGTTGAGATTAATAAGGTGGCTAGTGGGACGGGAAATCTCTGCTTTTCCGATCATTGAGTATGTCTTGGATTAATATCTATGTACATGAACTGCAAATTATAAAGACTATACGCGTCATTAGATTATTCTATCATTGACTGTAGATACTAGGTACACTGTAGACACTTACTTAGATATATGATTGAGGGATCGTAGTACGGCTCGTTGATCTTTCCCTTCTGGATTCGTATCTCAGCCTCCACCATCATTAGACTTCTCTCGGCCTTTTCTTCCAGACTGTTCTAGACCTTGACAGGCTCAGGTGACTGGCTGATTTTGCTTATCAGGCTGTAGGCTCTGCGGACATTAATGTTTGCAGTACGTCGGAGCGAGCCGGGAGTACCCTAGTGCCTGGATCTGCAAATTACTACTTGTGACTGACTTTATGACTTGTGAGAGAAATTGACAAGTGCTGCGCAGATGGCCTCGTCAGCAGGTGATGCGGCGGACCCGCTTTCGGAAGGAGTTTCTAGGATTCTAGAAGCGCTGCAGTTCAATCGATGGGCTACTGGCTAGCCGCTGCTGCGATCATACAATCGCTGTATCACGTCTGGTCTGGCCCCCTTGCCCAGGTCAGATCGATATATCGGGATCGACATGGCCTGTCCCGAGATCGCGATCTTGAAACAGATGTCTGGAAACAGATGCCTTGCACGTCTGACACAGGCTACTGCAGGTCATAACTACCGGACGCAATCAGACGCTGAGCATCGATCGCAGCACGAACCACGCTCCCAACCCGCCAATGACCATGCCCACCAGGTACCGACGGCCCTCCCAGGTCAACCCCAGGTACGCCAATCCACCCACCACCAGCTCTTTGCGTCGGGCCTCAGCTCGTTTGCGTTTCCAATCCCGGTCGATCGGGAATGGAGCCGTCGGCTGCGGCTGCTGCTGCTGCTGCTGCTGCACGTCTGTCGCAGGTGCAGCTTCTGAATCTGATGGACCGGCCTGGGCCGATCGCAGGACCTCCGCCGCCGCCGCCAGCGCAACGGCTCGATGGTCCGACGTCGGGAACAAAGGGAGTACATCATATCGGTAGGGCGTTACCGTCGCCGTCGAAGACTCCAAATACAGGATCCGGTCGCACCAGCTGGGCCAGCGACTGTGGACAAACTTCCATTGGCGTGGATTCCGCGCCCCAAGTTTATACTTGTACGTCGGCGGAAAGGTGATCGGCGCTTCAGACAAGCCCTGGAAACATTGGTTCTTTTCTCGCTCACGGGTGAGCTGGTCCTCGCGAAGCAGCCGCGAGTAATGCAGCGGGTCGCTCGCGTCGACGACATCCAGCTGTGGGAAACGCGCGAAATCCGCCTGCTGCGGCAGCGTATTGGACGTGCGGTAGTTGAGATCGCCCGCGAGAAAGAGGTAACCCGCCGTAAACACCCCTTCACCTTCACCTTCTCCAGTCGTCGACGAACCAAGCAACGCCGCGCTCTCCGAATCCTCCTCCTGGTTTGTGGTTGTAGTGGTACTAAAAACCAACCTCTCCACAAGCCCCCTCCAATCCTCATTCCGCCGCTCAAACGCATCCTCCGCAGGAGCAAGATGCGCCGCGACAAACGTCACCGGCACCGGCGGCGTCTCGGCGGCCTCAGACTCAGACTCCACCATCCACCCCAGCCTCGCCCCTACAGCCCCCTTATTCCCCATCTGCTGTAACCCCAGCCCGACGTGCGCCGTCTGCACCGACGCAATCCTTCCGACGACGTCCGACCGCGCAAACACCATTAACCCCGTCATCCCCACATGGTCCTCCACAACAGTGACATACTGCGCATCCTCCCAGCGACTTGCCGCCGCGCGGTCGACGACCTGCCGGAAGGAGGTAAAGTACGGTGTGAGGTAGGAGCCGCCGAGGAAGGCATAGGCGATGGGCGCGAGTTCCTGGAGGCTGAGGACGATGAGGTGCGGTGGTGCGGAGGGGACGGTGTGGGGAAGGGCGTGGAAGAAGTGCGACGCGAAGAGCTCAATGTCGATGGGGTTGCGGGCGCAATTGAAGGTGAGGATATAGAGGGTGAGTTTGTCCATTGCCTTCTTATCTATATATTATTGCATGGTATATGCCGAAGTTTAGGTAGGAGAGGAGTTGTGCTCAGTAGACTAATTGTGTTGGGTTGGTGAGTTGCTGGATGACGGTGACGTCGTTGAGGCAGTGTAGCGGTGTGTATGTCCACATGGTTCTGTCCGTGGTTACTACATAGGTACGATTTTATTGGCACCTACCTGTCTGCAATTGGCTTAGCAAAAAGACAATTGAACAGTAGAAAAAAGTAAAAAATGAAAAAGATGCATCATCCGTGAATCGAACACGGGCCTCGTCGATGGCAACGACGAATTCTACCACTAGACCAATGATGCTAGTTGTTATTGAGATTTTTATATTCAACTACATACACCAGTTTCCAACCCACAGTATCGAAGACATGCAATGATACATTGATTGAATACAAGTTTTAGTATCAAATATGAATTTATAAATAGAAATGATCAATGCATCGCTTAATCTAACAAGAAGAACGCTATGAGTCTAATTCTACAACGAAAACAACCCAGTCCTCCGCTTGCCAGAAGGATAAACAACCAACGCCGCAATAAACAACCCAACAGTAATGCCAATGGCGGTCTGGATCATACCATAACCCAGACTGGTCAAGGATGTTCCCGACGTACTACCCGATGTATCGGCCGTTCCACTCCGGACCGCATCCGAGTACTCGATCGCCGACAGGATCGAGCCGGACGAGGCCAGACCGGACGGCACCATGGTGAAAATACCCGGGATGGTCGAGCTCACCGCGTTGCCGTGCCAGAGGCGACTGTACAGGTTTGCCAGTAGCCCGATGGTGAACGCGCCGACGGTATTGGCGACCTGTGACGAGGAGCCGAGCTTCTGGGTGCTGAAATAGTTGGTTATGTAGCCCGAGGTTCCGATCAGGACCATCATGGGGATCTGTCGGAGCTTGGCCTGGTTGATCAGTGCCGCGATGACGCAGTATGCCGCGACGAAGGGGAAGTGAGAGGCGTAGGGGCTGCCCCAGACGCTTTGACGGGCGCAGGTGGTGTCACTGGTTGCGTTGGAGTCGATGGCGCCGTAGATGGTGGTTCCGACTGTGACGCCGTAACCGAGGAACAGGGAGTAGAGGATGGTGTACACGAGACGGATCGAGCCAGCGATCATCTGATGCGACTGGAGCTCCAGACTGCTCGTCAGCACGGAGAAACCGGGCAGGATGAGGGCGATGGAGGACTGGGTGATGGTGGCGTAGCAGAAGACCGGGTCCGAAGTGCCAGGGTATCGGATGCTGCCAAAGGCGCGGGCCAGGAAGGAAACCAGGATGGCGGCCGTGACCTCGAAAACGTTGGAGTACAGGGCGGAAAGCGGAGCGAGAACCAGCTGCATGAACCCGACGCAGCATCCCAGCACAAAAATGATGGGCATGTCGATCGGGCGCGCTGAGAAGCCAAAGGGACCGACGGCGGCCGAGCCCACGCCATAGAGCAGAATCACCAGCCAGCGTGGATACCGCGGCTTGCGGTCCATGATCTCTGTCAACTCGCCAATGGCCGTCTGCATGTCCGTCATGTCGTGTGTCACCCGCTTGTAACACCCGTGGACCTCTTCCAAACGGCCCAGGTCCAGCCCCTGTGGCACACGGACCAGCTTGACCTCGGCGGTGCGAGTGTACGGATCGTCAAAGGACATGATCATGCAGCCGGGAAGGTACATGAACTGCGCCTCGATGTCCAGCACGCGAGCCGTCATCTGCATGTACTCTTCCAGCCGGTGGGTGGGGGCACCGTAGCGCATAAACGCACGGCATAGTTGCATGATGTAGCGTTGACGGACGATAATGTCCGCGATGTGGTACCGCAGCTTCACCTCGTCGTCGTTCTTCTTTTTCTTCTTCTGAGCCTTGTTGCCCTTGTTGCCCTTGCTGCCGCTTTTGATCTCCGGCGGCGGTACGTTAGCATTGGCCCAGGCCGACGCGGAGCCGATACGGCCCATATTCATCGACGCATGGATCAATGAGGCGGTCGAGCTGTTTCTGGACTTCTTGTACCATGCTTGGGGTTTCTGTCGGGGAGGCGGAGGACTTGAGGCGGAATGGGGCACGCCTGGAGTGGGAGTCACCGTGCCGGACAGTGTAGGCGTGGATTCGATGTCGGACTCCGGGGCAGAATACATGCTATTGGTGCGCGAATGCTCCATCTGGCTCGCCTGCAGCCGGAGCAGAGCCGACAGCACACCTCCTCCCAGTAGCGGCTGGGGCGTATTGCCATTAGCCTCGACGTCTGTCGCGGCACGATCAGCCAGCGTCGTGGCATCCGATTCGGGAAACGAGCTCTCCTTCTCATTCGCCTCTGCGGATGGTTTGCGATGACGCATCTCGGTCAGACCAAAGCCCTGCATCAGCTCCTGAGCTTCCGCTGCCACCGCCATGTGCAGCCTGGACTGATCGGACAGTCCCGAATCCTTGTTGTTTCTGAAGAAGGCCGCCAACTTCTCGTCGTCCTGCGAGCCCAGCTCTTCCATCGGGACCAATGAGGACCCCAGCCCGTTCGCATCCTGTCCCTCCGGTCGGCCGAGCCTGTCTGCCAGCCGCCCGGTTTTCTGTCTGACTGATCGGCTAGCCTGCAGCCATCGATCTCGACTGAAGACAGAAGACGATGTGGTAGATCGCACTTCCTGATGTGAATCTTCGCGCTGGCCCTCCTGACTCTGGCTTTCCTGGGTGGATGTCTTGCGATGCGCTTCATGGACGGGACTCTCGGGCTGCTCCTCTAACGGCGATAGGTTTCCTGGCAAATCAGTAGGCGAATCTCCCGACTGACCGGTGTCGGTTCCATCGGCTCGAGGAGTTTCTGCACTCATGTTCGACGGGGGTAAACTCAAGCTCTAGTGGGCGATCAATCAAGCACGACGGGTCACTAGATGCCTGATGACTCGGACCGGGGCATCTTCAGAGATATTAGAGTATGGAGAAACGGGGTCGTCATGAAGACAGAGCAAATAACGAGGACATAGGAGGCTTTCTCTCCTTTCTCCTCTGCTCTCCTTTTTTTTTCTTGTCGTAAATAGCAAGTGGGACTAAAAGGAGGTCATAACGAAGGAGTTATTATTTAGGAGCACCAAGCACGGGACAAAACGACCGGTTCATGGGTTTATTTCTTAGTGCGTATTAGTTTGTATCTGCTCCTCTCTCCGGTACACTTTACAAGGAAATGGAACCGTATTTTGTGCATTCGTGTGCTGGTGGGGCTGCCACGCCTCTTCCTGTCATGGTTTCAGCTTTCAATCCCCGGGTCTCGGCACCCTCGAAATGTACTCTGCAGATAGTCAAAAGACTCGAAGGGCAGTGGCTCTCACACACTCTCTCCTACACTGTACTATGAGTAGAACAATAGAAAAAAGCAATACTTCATATTTGACAGGTCACATGCATGCCGTTGACTCCGTACCTGTCTGGCCAGTTCCTTGCAGAAACGGCGGAGCTTGACGACGCCTCCCACGGGGTGGCTTACACACGTGTACAAAGCAGAGTTCTAGACCCTTCCCTGCAACTATCTATAGCGGGCTGGCCAAGAGGCCTGAAAAGTTCTCTAATTAGCGTCTTCCCCCAGAGTCTAGGAGTTGCCTCCTATTCGGGCCTCGGGACTGTGTACCATGGTCGCTGAGCCCAAGCCCAGGAGAGACCTGGGCCGCCAACTGGTCGTGGTGGCGTATAACTGGGCATAATTATATAGTACATTTATGCAATATACCTAGTCTAAACCAATGAAGGGAACGATGATGGATAGATAGCTCATCATCATCTGCATATAAACGTCAATCAATACAATCGTAAGGAGCTCCTGGTCTAATTCGCTGAGAGTCCGATACAAGTTCTTACTAGATCAACCGGTGGGTCATGTCGATCACAAAAGACTCGAATAAGGTACTGCTTTGATGATTATTATTTGGGACATGATATCACCCCGCATCATTTGAAATAGCAGTTCGCTGACTGTATTTGGTGGATTTCCGGATGTTTGGACCCGTTGTATGTGTCGCTCTCGGACTGGTCAGGTCACAAATCGCTCACCTGCTTGAGATCGGAGATATGCAAACTAGCGGCCAGTAGGAATTCTGATCCCGAGACCCCGAGTCAATGTCATCGATGGAGATGGAGATGGATTAATTTCGTCGGATTCTGCACTGAGTCGTTTGACCAACAGGTGTCCAATAACCTCACTATGAAACATCAACCCGTTTCATAGTATAATAACACAAAATGTCTCCATCCAACCCCTCCACCATCGCATCCATCTACGACGAACGAAGCACCGCCTACGACACCGCCACCTTCCACCACCGTCTCGCAGAGGAATACATCCGCGCCTCCCACCCCCAGCCCGGCGCTCATGTCCTCGATCTCGCCTGTGGCACGGGGCTAGTCGCCTTCCTCGCAGAGGCGCAGGTCGGACCCACAGGATACGTCGTCGGCGTCGATATCAGCGAGGGGATGCTGGAGGTTGCGCGGAGAAGGCACAGCGAACCGGGTCACGGGTTACCTTCTACCAGCACGATATCTCTGATTTGACCGGTATGGATCTGAATCCGAATCCGGGAAGTGAAGGCGACGGCACAGGCCAGTTCGACTTGATCACCTGTGCGGCGGCGCTGGTGCTGCTCCCTGATCCGCTTGGAGCGATACGGCGCTGGACGTCGCTACTGAGGAAAGGCGGCAGGCTGGTTACGGATGTGGCGGCTCGGGATGTGCACGTCCCTGCGCGGATCTTTGAGCGGATTGGGCCGCAGCTTGGGCTGTCGTTGCAGTGGGATCAGAGCTGGGTGAAAGGTGAGGAGTCGTTGGCTGGGTTGTTGAGCGAGGCCGGGTTGGTGGTCGAGAGGGTGTATTTGAGTCCTGTCTTCCAGGTGAAGGAACACAAAGTGGAGCAGGCTGGGGAGCTATTCGAGCAGGCGGTTTCGGGTCCTATGTTTAGGAATTTCGGGGTGGGGAGTATCAGGGACAAGGCGAAGAGGTTGTTCGTCCAGAGGTTTGTGGAAGAAGCTGGGGAGGAGGGTGTGTTGGTGGATGAGGCCAAGATGTACATTGGTGTTGCTGTTAAGCGGTGACACTGATGTTATCCATGAATTTGAATGTTATGTTTTGAGGGAAGCCAGTAGTTTCCATAGGGTGACAATCTACCACTCCACATCCAACATCTGCTCGCATACCCACCGTGCTGTCTGCGTATGGAGACTATAATACCTCTCGTCCTCTTTTCCCTTGCCATTGGCTTCACACTTGGACGTAGACTTCCCGAGCGCCTCGAATATAACCAGCTGGTCTCGCATATACTCGTCCACGCAAGGCTGACGTCCTTCAGATGTACTCTGCCGTCCTGGGTCATACAACTCACTCACAAAGTCATCAACGCATCTATCTATCAGTTCCGTAGCTATACCCCTATCGTCTGTTGGTCGGCCCCTTCTACCACCTGTCTTTCTCTGAGAATCCTCCCTGTGAGCGCCGTAAAGCGCCTCTCGACCGAGCTTGAACCCATACGATGTATGTGCCACAATGAGAATGTGAATATGTGAGCGGTGGTGCGTTCTTTCTGAGGTGTGTAGATTGATAGGTATGGCTTCTGGAGAATCTGCGCTTCCTCGTTTGACTATCGATGATGGTATCCTTTGGAGTCGACTGCGCAGCATCCGCATCGTTTCATACTCGATGAATTGGCGGATAGTCATAGACTGAGATGTATCCTTCGATGTCCGTGAATTTTCCTTCCTTCGATCTTTAAGCTGATCAGGTCCTCCGAATAGGAGTGTATCCGGTGCCAAAACCGTGATATCGATTTGTGTGATCTTGCCCCGTAGGCATCTGTCTAGATCAACTGGTGGAAACCCATACGGAGACTCTTGATTTCTGTCCATCGGGTGAATAACGAACGTCACCTTCCCTAGACTAAAGGGCCCAGTGGCCCATCCTCTTTTCTCCAGGCGAACCGCGAGCGGTGGAAGCCCGACCCTCGCGAAATTCGGCACCAGGACCTGCGAGATGTAATCATACGACGGCGAAAACGATACATTCGTGCCTCCTGTGATTTTCACACGGACGGGCTGTGGTTGTGGTTCTTCGTCGCTTATACAGTTCCCATGAAGAAGATACGGATACAAAGCCTGAAAGACCAGTGATATAGCCCCAGCCGTTGGAAGCTGGATGTTTATATCTCGGTTTTGCCGGACGCAGGTCTCTGCATCTGGCAGGGGATGATATGTCAATGAAGAGGATCCCACCTCGGCGCCTGAGACGGCACTCCCGCTGACATCTGCGAGATATTTAATGGCAGCCAGGTGGGATGCTTTGAGACCCTTCTTGCCGGTGCGGTTGCCGCGGATGTGGTCGATTGTGATGGGTTGGCCGGTGATGGTGGACAGGGCCAGCGCGATGCGCACTAATTGACCTCCTCCTTCGAGGGTGCGGCCGTCAAGGTGAACCCTTTCTCGTCTGGTTGGAGATGACGACATCTCGGCTGTTTGAGAGGACCTTGTGGGGGTGTGTTTATCATAATTGGTAGAGATACTCTTGCGGTTGAACTGGAGACTACAAATATATAGGCTCTTCTCCGGACAGTATTCCATCAAACTAAAACACAAATGTCTATCTATATTTTAGACCGATCTAACCTGTTACGGGGCGGTCGCTACTGTATATATTCATGACTCAGAGCCAGGCCTGGACTCCTTGCATGACTCATTTAGTGACGCATCGCCAACGCCTGGAGGATTCCTCCGTGGGCCGAATAAACTTCTTCTGAGCTACCCTGGTTATCGCAAATGTGTTCAATCAATGAAATAGAATAGTCTCCTGAAATTCAGTCATGTTCGAAAAGGTACTGGCTTCCGGTCCCTGGTTATTATACAGTCTATACACTAAGAGCAAGGCAACAGTCTCATGTTTGGGGAGCATGGTTGACTTATCACGAGTCAGGAAGTCGTTCACTATAGACCTGAGGTATTTTTTGATGGCCCTTGTGGATATATATACTACTCATTTATGTACAACCAGTACAATGTCAGTAAGCACATCGCATCGTAAGACCAAGTGTCAGCATCGGAGTGATCAAAAACCCCGCAGAGCCTTGTCAGCCTCGTCAGCTTCGTTTTTATTCCTAAATCCACACACATTTATAGTTGCATTCAATCAGAGCGAATTTTGGCATGTCCCTCTCCAAGCTCCCAAACGAAGTCGTCTTTCTAATCGCCACCCATCTGGTCTGCTACAGGGACCTCAGGGCCCTTGTGCTATCCTCTCGTGGATTGTACCATCTCTTGCAAGGATATCTCAGCAAACACAGCTCCCAAGCTTGCCATGGAGGCGCTCTATGCTGCGCTGCAGCTCACGATGATGAAGGTCTCGCCAGGGAATGTCTAGAGAGGATGGCAGTCGCCGCCGAGTCCTTTCAAGGCCCCCCTGTGAGCAACCCGTTCAAACACCCTCTATGCACCACCAAGTGGAGGGTCGATGATACGGTCCTCATTCAGCGCGCGCTGCTGGTAGCCGTGCAAGCTGGTTCAAGGCGCGTGGTCAATCTTCTACTGGACCACGGCGCGCAGACCATGTTCCTGTGTCCGTTTGGCTACATTAACAACATCCCACCGCTGTATCTCGCCGTGCAGAACGGCCACGAGGACCTTGTGAACCTTCTATGTGAGAGGGGACATTCATGCTACGGAGTGGATACGTGTCCGCTCCTTTGGGCAATCGAGCATAATCAGCGCCGGATCATTCGCACCCTACTGCGCCACGAATCGTGCGATCATTGCTGGTATGTTCTGCCGATGGCCATGAATCGCAGAGATACGGACATGTTGCACTTCCTGCTGGAAAACGGGCTCCACGGAACGAATTATGCGTGTGATGCGCTGTTTGCTGCAATCTTCAAAGGGGACCTAGAAATTGTTAGATTGTTCATCGCCCACGGCGCGGATCCGAACCGGCTGGGCGACTGCTATGACAACAGGTGGGAGAGAAATCACGTCCAGCTTCTTCGGAAGATAGATAGTCGCTCCCTTCTGGAGCTTGACGGCATAGACGATGACTTTTTGATTCGGAGCAACGGCTTGTGTGTTGATGAGGAGCCGGTGTTCTATAGTACCACCTACGTTGCGATTTATTATGACCAGATGCCGATACTGAGGTTTCTGCTCGAGTATGGGGTACATCCGGAGCCGGAGGACATTCAACTGACACGGAAGAAGGGGAATGAAGAGGCTGTCCGTTTGCTTTCTCGATTTTCCTATGAAGATGTACCACAGAAGAAGTATTATCTTCAGGAGTGACTCAACGAATGATCACAAAGACTGAAAACAGCTTCCATCGCAAGAGAGTGTGAGAGTTGCTATACACAGGGAAATATCACCTGGGGGGTAATCGTAGTTCGCTGCGTTGAACCGCCAACCCACCTAACATCATTTCGGTTCTAATCCCTCTTTCCGTGGCTATGGGTAAAGGCAGAGAAATTGCAAGAAATGGGCTGTTGCCGCAACTCCCAAGTCTGTAGATCTTGAAGCAACAGGAAGCTGCGCCTGGGGTCTGTTGCCGTCATGTTGCCGCCTATCGCACCCCCCAAGCACCTTCTATTTCGGGGCGGTTGCTCAACACCAGACACCCAACGATAAGGTATGTCCATGTTGTAGAACTTCTCTCATTTATACTCATCCTTTAGCTCACATCAGTACTCAACTATATCCTCTTCGAATAAACCATGCCAAGAATGTCCTCTATATCCCTGACCGCAAAAGATCGCCTGCGTCGAAGTCAGTCCGCTCGCTCCATGCGCAGATCGCGTCAGTCCTCCCTGCCCTCAGAGCCGTTCGACCCGTCTATTGCCAGGCAGCATGCGGCTGCTGCTGCCTCTCGTGCTATGCTGCGCTCCTCGGACAGATCGTCTGCAGATTCGAAGCACTCGTATGACCGTCTAGGTGGCCCGGAAAGCATGGCAGTCCCATCGAGAAGACCACCTCGACCGCCCCGTCACACGCAAGAACCAGCCAAGAATCCATCAGTCGAAGACGCTTCGCCTTCTCGCCGATCCGTTGCGAGCCATATAGAGAGCCGCGATGATGACCTGACCTTCTCCGCGGCCTTGCCGCCCATAAGTGAGTTTCGAGGCCTGGATGGTCGTGACTCCTCGCTGCCCTCCTCCTATCGCCGGCTTCGTAAAGCACGTTCGATGTTCTCAGCCAGGCAGCGCTCTTCGTATACCTCTCACGAATTCTCATCTGATGCAGATGCTCGGAGGTTCAATGACGCAGAGCTATTTGACACGCCCCGCTCTTATAGGACGTTGAGACGCTCCATGTCTTTTCTGAGAAGTGGTCAATCTCCTAGAACCGTCCACCACACGCAGAGTCAAGAAGCAGCTGTCCAACTCGCGCGCAGTCAGTTCCAGGAGAACATGGTCGGACAATCCAGTGGTCAAAGGCAATCGTCTATCACCATGCTCAAGCCGAGACGTGAGCATAAGCCCTTCAGAAAGACATTTCGCACCAACAGCGGCTCGGGTATGGACACAGATGCGTCGCCATCGGCGGGGCAGTTAAAAAGAGTTTCGTCTCGTGGAAAAGCGCGGGCTCTTTCTTCATCTATCAAGAGAGGGTTGAAGCGAGTTCTGGGTCTATCAAAGACATCGACGGCTCAGGGGCAAGCGGAAGCTTCACCCTCCTCACTTCAGCAACACGATTATGGCCCATCGTCGACCGTATATGACGTCGATTTCAGCCACGCCGAGGAATTTGACCGCTCCCGCGAGATCATCGGCCAGAGCAGACCACCCACGGTGCGGAGCGTTCGAAGCAATGAAAGTCTTGCGACGTCCCGCTCTCGTGTAACAAGTTGGGCTGACTCAACCGTCCCAAATACGATCGCAACCCGCAGAGCATCCGAGCGTGACGGCCTGTCCATCATTAACGAACAAGGAGGCTTTAACGGGCGTGCCGGTTCCGAGCTTCCACCAAGACCAAGTCCAATACGACCAGACGGCTCTATCGACAGTAAGCACTTGTACGATGCGTTGTTGAGGCGGATCGGCAGCGACGATACGCCAAGTCCCCGTGAGGAGTTTGTAGTGGGCCAAGTCAAAGAGCATCGACTCATACCAGCGCGCACGTCTTCTCTTCGCCCCAGGCGCAGCAGGCAGACCATCCGCCAGATACCAAGTGATGCATCGATTGCGACTTCCAGGACTTTTGCCACGGCCAACGCAGGTAGTTCAACTCCTCGGAAGCAGACGCAGCGCCATTCCCGGTTGTCCATGCCTTCCCAAAGGATATCAAGTGCTCCGAAGAAAGCGAGCGCAACCCTGGATTCCAGTCCAGTCGGCGATGCCGACGAACCTGCCGCTGCAAGTGCTGAAGACGCCGAGGACGATTCCCGAAGCGTGATCGTCGCCAGTCAGGCCGACCCAGAGACTCTCTCCAATTCTCCTAGCATCTATTCTCGAACCACCAGTGGGAACTCTCCTGAAAGGAAAGATCAGACTGTTGATTTGTATTCGTCGGAAACGGAGGATGAGCCCGGGACGGTGACTATCTATGAAAGCCAGAGAACCGCTTACTGCTCCCCAAAGCGTATTGCTCGCTCTTCGTCCAGTGGAAACCGAGTGCGGCCTAGTGCCGAATGGAAACAATGGATGTGTTCGCAGATGGCAAAATTCGAGACAATCGTTCCCCCTAGAGATCACTACAGAGAGGATGCACAGATTCACGAGGAGGCCGGGGACTTTCTACCCTCAGCTCCTCAACAAGTCTCTGGAAACAGCGAATCCCCATACCCTCAGACAAGCTATCTGTATCAGAGTATTTCCGAGGGTGAAATGGGAACAGACGGCAAAGTTGTACCAAGCAATAATTTCTCCCGACCATTCAGTCGGTCTTCGAGCGTCCGCACGATTGTACCGTCTAGAAAAGAGCAAGCAAAGGAGCGAGGTTCCTTATTCGCGGATTCAGTCTTCTCTTCTCCTAGTGTGAAGAATTACTCTCAGGGATACAGCTTGACTACTACAGGAGTACGCACGCGCGAGAATGTGTCCGCCTTGTCGCCAATGCAAGCGAGGTCAAGCAATCGACTTCAGACACTTGATTCTCCCACCCCTAAAAGGCGCGGAGCGGATTCCCAGCAGACAGAATTGGCAAGCGAGCGGTATCGCCGGTACTCGGCACGGCGTCTTACAGTATCTTCCGATTCGAGGACTCAGCAGTGCCGTTCGATTAGAATAGCGACCAACGAGAATGCGAGGGCTGGCGAGCGGCCGGATAAGTTGGGTCAGCTTGGAGATCCACACGACATGCCTTCGCCGGTGTCAAGCAAGCACATGGTGGAGATGTTTCTGAGCAGTCGACGGAGACAAATTGAAAATAAAATTTCGGAAGACGGTGCGCAAGAGGGAGCCTTTGTATGATTATATTTCTGCAGCCAGGAGGACTGCAAGCGGATCAGAAACATTTGTAGACAAGCATCGTCACTTTGTCATGCGAGGTCCGATAGTGGCGCTTTATTCAGTATACTTCCTGTATTTACACATAGGAGTCAAATTGAATTATGACCGCCAATATTCTCGAGTACTCCTTACTAATTTGGGCTTTTTAAAGGTATCGACATGGACCCACAAGGCATTGCTTATTGAACATAGTTGGCTGGAAAACTTCCCTTGACTCCGCGCAGCTCTCCCTCCCACCAGTCATCGGTGCTGTTCGTCTTCTGTAGGACTCGAATTCGATCACCCTCACGGAAGGCCAGGTCACCGGCACTCTGACCCGCAAAGTCATAGAGGGCAGTGACATACAGCGCTCCGTTCGAGGAACCGGCGCGAGGGGCCGGAGGCGGCGGCGGCTTCTTCTTCGCGGCTGCAGCGGCAGCAAAACCAGGAGATGTGACCGTCGACCCACTAGATGGTTTTCGGGGGTTGAGACTGAAGTAGTCCGATCGCGAGGAGTTAGGGGAGAGCCCGCTCAGCGGCGTCTGGGCGTATTCTGAGCCCGGGACGGGGAGGTGGGAATCGCTGTGCGGGGTCGCTGAGGGGGAGAGATGCGCGCTAGGCACGGCGAGATTAGGCGATAAGGAGGACGGGGTCAGATCCTTCAGACGGGGTTTCGTCTCATAGACGGGGAGGGGTTTAGTTTCGTAATTTGGCGTTGGGACGGAGGGGACTCTGCTGTTACTGGTGCGTTCATGTTCACGTTCACGCTCACGCTCACGAACGTGATCGCGGCATATCGAGGGCGCGGCTGGCTGCAGTGGCGGCACTGGATGTGACGTGCCTGTACCTGCACCCTGTCCGCTTGAGCGACGGCGAAAATTGAGGCCGTTTGTGAGGCGGCTGGAGAGGCCGTTAACGTTGCCGTGGTCGTCTGGAGCCTGGGACATGCGGACAACTTTGCCGTTGGCGAGGCAGCCCAAGGCCTCGATTTCCTGCTGGATTGGGTGCAGGTCTCGTTCCCATTGGGCGATGATGTCCTCCATGGGTGGGGCGGGGGAGGGGAAGTGCTCCCCTCGCAATAGTTGTGCACAACGGTGTAGTGGTGTGCCAGCATGGTGTTTTGGATCTCGATCTGGGTGGCTAGCAGCTGGGGGAGAAGGGAGAATGCGGCGTTGATTAAGGGCGGGAGGCACTTTCGGAGGTGCTCGTCTGCGGCGTGGTATTCCTGCTGAGGTTAGAAGGGAATCGCAGCCGCAATTGCTAAGGCCTTACCTCTGTGGCTTTTGCGAGATCGGTTTCTGCTTTGGCGAGCGCGGCGTTATCCCGGTCTGAGCGCTTTGTCTTCTTGGTGTAGCTGTCGACGCGACTTTGATGGCGTTCGTAGTCGAGCTAGTTAACGTTAACCTCAATATCTTGAGTGCTGAAAGGGGCCAAGCGACCTTGCGATCTTCCCGCTTCTTGATGGTCTTCTTCAACGGAGCCAGGTACTCTTTCGCCTGCGAGGCGGGCCTGATCATCCGCTGATCCACGGCATTAAGCTCCTCTGCCAGTTCCTTTCGCAACTCTTCGTATTCCTCTCGCAGTCTGCGCGTCCTGGCTAATGTGGCTTCTGGCGTTGGAGCGGCTTTCGCGGTGGTAGGATCGGAGGACCCGATGATGGGAGCATAGATACCGTCGAACTCGCAGAGCATTCGCTCTTGATGCAGCAGGATGGATGACCACGCATCGCGCCAGGCGCGGGTTGACTCGACGATCTATTGATGGTGAGTTTGCGAACGAAATGCGCGTGGGGGAAATAGGATAGTCGGCTAAAAATAAGAGGAAGACCTACTCTGCCCAATAGCTTGTCGGTCTCATCAAAGTCCTTGAGAAGAACTGCTACCTGACTTTCATCTGCGGATCGTTTCATGAACCTGCCGAATTGCCTCTGCACACTCTGCATCTTGGAGGTTGGTTGAGCTTCTTGATGCTAGGTGGTGATAGGGGTAGGAATCAGGCGACAGCGGGGAAGAACGCTAAAGATGTAAAGAAATAGCGAGCTTATATTAGATTGACAACTGCGAAGGAATCCATGGATGAAGGGATGATCGTTAGGTTCCAAAGGAATCAGCAATCGCGGGGAAGGGAGCCGAAGCAAAATAGTCGGCAGAAAGAAACATAATAATAACGAAGGGAGAAGGGGAAGGAGGAAAAGAAGCAGCAGCCTAGATGACGCAGCCAATTCGCGTCCTGCATCGGATCACAGTGATAGGACCTAGTTAGTAGTATCGTACCTAGTATGGCTGTGTTTCAGCCTGTCATCAAATAATATCGATGTCTAGACCCCGCCACAGAACCCTTCCCAGTCCACTATTTTTGGAGCTGCGATCTGTGTTTGGGTGTGGCATCCGCGGAAATTGGCAGGGTGGAGATCAAGGCTATTCCTAGGCTATTCCTAGAGCCATGATTGACAATCAATGGTCGCATTATCACCATGTGTTCCAGAGGATTCGATTGCTCCTTGTAGATGGAGGATCAAGTGAAAACAATGAGATATAGGTAATTTAACGTTGTATTGTGACGACAATCGGGACCAAGCAACGTTGTCCTTATCACGTTCTATACACGAACCACGGACAAGTCGAGACCGTCAACTGGCCAACCCCACAGTTCGGCCTCAGGCTCCCGCCGCCTATTTTCTCTTTTCTGGTTCCGCGTTGTCATCGCGTCCCTCAGTTGGTTCAACATCCAGGCTCGTCGACACGGTTATCTCCTGCTCTGGATCCGATGGTGCACCATCAGAGGGACGCCAAACTCTGGCCATGTCGATCCCCTTATCATCAGCAGCAACCCCGCGTGGCACACCCAGTCTGAACGTTCCCGCAACGCAGAACACCGCGCCCGTCATCAAATTTCGATGCCTTTTCACCCACGATGTTCGACGCAAAGCGAAGCGCTGGCACGATGGCTTCCTCCGGTACCATACATTCAATAAGCGGGTCATGGTTTACGATACCACCGGCTATTTCATCGGAGATTTGCATTGGCGACAGGACGACGGGATCCAGGACGGAGACGAGCTGGAGCTGGACAAAGGCGTGCTGATCCAAGTTTGTGAGCCGGTGGAGCAGACACAAACAGACCTGTCGACGCTGTACAACAATAAGAAGAAGACGCAGGAGTCACGGACGGAAGCAGCGGAACAGTTAGCTCCCCCATTTCGTACCCCTGCTCCGCTCCGGTCCTCGATGCCCTCCCAACAGCCGCGGTCCCTCAATGATGTCCTAGGCATTCGGAAAACACATGCTGGGTTGTCTGTTCCGCCCTATGAGGAACGCCAACGACAGAAACAGAAGGAAGACAATCGGCTGGCGTCTGAAAGAGCGGCAAAACGTCAAAAGACCACCCCGGCTGAAGTACCGACTGAGCAACAACCAAGACGCTCGATCGCCAATCCCCCGATTCTCGTCGATTTGTCCGATTCACCCGAGGAGAACGCACCAGAAAGACCACAGAAGCCAAGCAAAATCCCAGAGACCATCTCTCAGCCGAAGAAGAATTCCTTTTCAAATGGGCCTGCTTTACCGGTAATGAAGTGTCCAGTCGTTGACACTGCTCAGCGCGAGGTCGAGAAGCGTCAAAACTCGTCAAACAACGCCCCGTCTTCAGCATCAAGACCATCCTCCGCGCACTCATCTTCGGAGGCGCCAACTAAAACACTCCGCTTACCCACAAGCCAGCCTCGTAAGAAGCTCATGTATCAGGCATTGCTCCCTAATCAGGCACCTGGAAAAGCAGCACGTACAGTGCCGTCATCCGCCCAAGACAGGAGAATCGTGCCAACACAGTTGAGATCGCAGTTAGTATGTGCTCTGAGACGTCCCCAGGGCCTTGGCTAACTTGTCTAGCGAGAGTGAACCTTTTCCGACTCCGGATCCTACCTCGACTAATATGGAGTTCATACCGACGGAGTCCACCATGTTCGTTCTGGAAGAGGTGGCTGACGATCTAGTGCCCAATCCACGTCAGAGTCTGCATAGAGAGCGGCTGGGGTTCCCTACAGCACAAAATACGATAGATGCTACGACGTCTGCAGCGAGGGCGCAAACCCTACAACCAACAATGAGCAATAACGCTGATCAAGTGAAGGTGCATGGGTCATCCTCAATCGACCAAAGTGCCAGGACGCACAACACGCATCCACCGAAATCCACGTCCAAAGGACTCCGCAAAGCCCTGTCTGATCCGACAGCGTTGACGACGAGCACCAGTGTGCAATCACGGTCCCTGCTGTCCAGGGGATCGGTCGACACATACCCAATCGAGGAGAATCCGCCAGAACAGGGGCCTTGGACGTCTGAGGCTCTCGATCTCTTCGATTTCTGGCCACCGGGACGGCCGAAACCCAGCTGACTGTATCTCGTTTTCCTTTTCCATCATCGTTGAGCCTGTCTATTCAAGATGTTATGACTATGATACCCTAGATGCATGTACTTACATGAATAAATTCCGAACTTTTTCTTTTCTTACAGCCGTTCACTCATCTACGTACTCTTCTTCACCAACACACCGGAAATATACGGTATGGGAGACCGTCCAAACCACCTCTCCAACTCCACAACCTCCCACCCTCCATCCCTGTCCGCCGCCGCCCGCAACGCCGTCTCCGTATCCCGATCCAAGCAGCAATTCCCAATAAACCAGCTCCACCCAAAGAACCCATAAACAGCCTGCATCACCCTCGCCACAATCGACCCCTTCGCCGTCCGCCACGGATTAACCACATGCTCCACAACAAGCAACTGCCCCCCAGGCCGCAGCAGCGCATACAACTCCCGCGCCGTCCTCTCCAACTCCGGCACAGAGCACAGAACCCGCACACACACAATCGTATCAAAGACCCCGCTCGTGCTCGCCAGAACCCTCTCCACATCCCCGGCAGGAAGTAGCCCCTCCCTCTGCAACTCCGGCACAAGCTCCCCCGCCGCAGCACCACAGGACAGAACACGATACTTCTCCCCCAACCCCTCCGCTTCCGCGCGCGCGCGCAGCTCCGCATGCAGACCGCTGCATGGCTCGGCGCCGTAAATCGCCTTGACGGCTGGTGCGCGCAGGCGCAGGAGCGGCATCTGCGTGCCTGTCCCCGGGCCGACGTCTAGTACGACACCTGATGCTCTGGCTAGAATTGGTGGGATGAGGTCCGTTGAGTTTTGGATTTGAGGCGCTTGCCTTTGGTCCTGGTCTTGGTTTTGTTGTTGGGTGCTTGTTGGGCGCGCGGCTGGCACGTTAGTTAGTATCGGTACTCCGCGGTATCACTATCAATTGAAAGAACGAAGACGGCGTACAGCTGAAATCAACCCAGAAGCGGCCAAAGGCTTCGTCGCGGAGCTTGCTTGTTTGCAGGAGGGGGCGAGGACTTCGCCTCGACGGAAGACTGCTTCGAAGCAGACTTTGGTGTAATCTGTGGGTGTTAGTATATATTTTCAATTTTTTTCCAATGAATGGATGTATAATTGGTTTATAGAGTAGGAATGGAGGGATAGCAAGGCTAGTTGAAGCACTACAGCAGTTACGCGCATCTACCCAGAATTGCGAAGAGCTGTTCATAATTGTGTATAGACTAGCGGCGAGGTAGACTCACAGCTCATGGCCCAAGCCAGCAGCTGGCCAGGTTCAATCAGCGTCCGGATCCATTCTTTCGTGGTGGGCTCATGGGCCGTCATGTTGATCTTATCTTGGTGTATATCCCTCTATTTATGGTCCCTCGAAAGAGAAGGGCGTTTGTAGAGTATATGAAGATGATGAATGGATAGATTGCGGAGAAACACCGGATAGATATGCGCAATCGCCGACTCGCCGACTGCCCGACGCGAACCCCGTTCAGGAAACCAACTCGGGTGTTTGAAAATAGCAATAGCCGATATGGACACCTCGCAGATAGGATGACATAACTACAGGATGAGACACTGTTGGAACCCTTGATGTTCAATTCATATCGGTGCCTAGAACATTTCTTGCGCCTTGCGTCTATGGCAAGCAGAGATAGAATCACAATAATCAAGAACACTGACGGCCAACAGCAACGTGGTGATACAACCCTATTATAACCAGTCATTCTCACCGTCATTACAGTCTCAGAAATGAGCCAAGATCACTGAAAATGGAAATGAAAAGGATACAGAGCGGTAGACTTGCGCAATACTTGCACAGAATTTGTATAATAGGAAGAGTCAAGCCAGAACGAAGGATCGACCGAGGTGGATTTCAGGCTGATGATAGAAACATAGGAAAAAGAGGCCAAAAATTTCATGATGCAATGTGTGCAGAAAAATGGCAGAGAACGAACAGGCACCGAAGAGTAGGGAGAATGGCCACAAGGTTAAGTTCCAAAAAGCCAACGGCATGAGTATGCGGGTGCGTATGACAGGTTGCGATAGCTGAATGCAGATACCTGAAGTAGAGAAGAATGAAGACGAAGCTGGTCAGAAGACACAGATGCTGATTTGCACGCTTATCAAATTCGCAGTATATCAAAAAGGGGCGGATGATAGTGCGAGGTTTGCACAAAAGAGACTCGTGGACGTCAACAACAGCTCAGCTGCTGGTTCAGTGATGCGAGTGGATTCGATTGACGCGGGGGCTATAACGACTCGTCCTGGAAAGTGAGCTGACATCGTGCTTGCCGTCGCAGCAAGCGCGGACGTTCTCCAGCCGATCAGAGTCTTGTTCCATCATACGCCGAAAGTCTTCTTCGCTATCCCGCTCGTGTAGGCTGTCCGCATGAAGACTCCCTTCGTGAACACTGGAGGTGGCATAGCCTGGCCGGCCTTTACGACCAAAAGATCCCTTAATCGTCGTATTGAGGATCGTGCTGAGACGGGATGTCGACCCCTGGCGGCCGTCATCAGGAACCTGGAGCCCAGAACCCTGTGACGGTGCGCTCAGCGCGGGTGATACACGGCCCGGGGTGACAGTCTGCCGTACAGACATGGCGGATGCAGCACGCTGCTTGGGTACATTGCGGACAGTCCGGCTCCGCGACGAGGAAAAGGACATACGCGTGGTCTGCTGGGACTGCGAACGGAATCCGGGATTGAACTCGTCGATATCTTCCAGCGTGACATTTTCCAGCGTACCATTATTATCCCGGCCTTCTCCAGCCTCATCCGAGTTTCGAAGTAGAAGATACGAGAGCGCGTTGAACCAAGTCTCGTGCCTCTGGCTAGTTGTGGCCGTAAATCGGACCCGGCGGCCTGGACTGACGACTTCTAAGCTTCGGCAATGAAGACCTGGCGGATAAGGGTTGTCGTCAGCAACGACTCGCACAGCCTCGATCGGCACACTCTTCGTCCGCAACTGATTCTTCCCAGCAGTTTGTGGGTCCTGTTCACTCCAGTACAACGTCCGGGTGTACGGATGAACCCAGAAATAACGACGGTGCCTTGTCTTGGAGATCTCCCCAGTCACAGTCCTTCGAGTATACTTCCAGAGGAACTCGCCAATCATGGTCTGAGTGATGGCCTGTATCATGCGAGGATCTGTTCCCGCTGCGTAACCGTTGGGCATGTGATTGGGATAGGCTTGAATGTTGAACCGTTCTTCAAGCTCTGATGCAAATGAAGAAACGGATGATCTGCGGGACACTTGACTTTCCCGTCTAATCTGGGCCCGCGAAGTGCTTGTCTTGGAGGAATGAACCTGAGTCCCTGATTCGCTTGGAGTCAGCGGGCGCTGGGTGGAGTTTGATCGGTATGCGGAAGCCGGTGCCAGGGGAGGACCCATTAAGCCAGGAGACGGGGGCCGTTGCTCTAAGGACTTCTTTTCGGCTGCCATGATAGCTTCCCGGTGGTCCACGGGTAATGGTGGATGACTGAGGCTGTGCACACTGGACGACAAGCTCGTAGAGCTCCCTGGCCGACGTTGAGCAGATTGGAGAGATGTCGTCGAAGCATGTTGAGTGGGACGAGGACGCGCCTTTGGCGTTGCAAAGGGCGACGGTCCAGCTTCCTTGGCCTTGTCACTATCAGGAGGAGACAATGGGCGCGACGAGACACGTTCCATCAGAATCTGATCAATTTGTTTCGACGACAATATTGTCTGGGCACCGGAATCAGCCTGGTTGGATTGACGTCTCCTGCCGCGTGTGACGGCGTTGCCAGAGATAGTACCCAACGGTAAGGCGGCACCTGAGTTTCGGTCTTCTGTGTCGGCGGCAGCATCGTCGCTTGGGATATCCCTAGCAATCGACATGGAGTCTGTCGGCCGCTTTTCTTGCACAGCATCCCTCAAGTGCGCCGGGTGCATATTCTCATCGGCAATCTGCAGACCGGGAATGAGTGCAACAGGTGAAGTGGCTCCCACAGGAAGCGTCTCTTCAGACCGTATTGACGAATATGAGAGCTCAGGTACTCGAGAAACTGGTCGTTCGCGGAGTTGTGGTGCAACCGGCTCAGTAGACGCTGAGCTGATATGGGATATATCCAGTTTCGCGCTCTCAGACTGCACCACCTTATCTTCAACAATCACAACGGGCTCTGGTTCGGAAAGTGATTTGGGTAGAAGAGCTGCGACAGGTTCGGTCTGCTCAGCGACTATCGAAGATATCTCTAGCTCCGGAGACTCCGTGCTTGTAGAGTGGTCTGCCACAGAGATAATAGGTACAGGTTCGGGCTCAGGGAGTGCTGCAGCAACGGGCAGGGTATGTTCCGAGAAGATAGTTGAGACATCTAGATGTGGAGTCTCCGTGTTCGTCGCGTGGTCCGCAAAAGACAGAACAGGCAGCGGTTCCGGCTCGGGAAGAGTAACGGCAACGGGAACTGTATGTTCCGAGAAGACAGTTGAGACGACCATCTGGGGAGCGTATACCTGCTCAGGTTCTGGAAGTCGTGCCATGAGAGGCTCTGTAGACTGAGAGGATATGGAGGACAAAGACAGCTCCCGCGGCAGCGGAGAAGGAAGTGCAACCGGTTCGGTTACCCCGCCGATGAAGTACGATGTAGTCAATTGCGGTAATACAGGTGGCACTGGTGAGGTCTCCTGGGATGAAATCGACGAGAAGTCTAGCTCAGCGACTGGAGGTGCAGGAACACTGGTTGTCTCTCCCTCTGCGCCTGATGCATCATCCCAGGCCATCTTCGGTGGGGTAGGCACGCTAGATACTTGATCACCATTTGACTCGGCGCCTGACCTGAGAGGTGTCCATTGGGTTGCAGAATTAACCAGCTTCGGTGGCTCCTTGATGGCCATGCCGGCTTCAGCACTGGATGCGGTTGCCCTCGTTGGCGTGACTGGTGCAACAGGCAGAGCCTCTTCAACCCCGGCAGTTGCAGGATTAGCAGACTCCGTAGGTCGCCAGGGATCGGTCATCACGCCCGAATCGACCATCGCGGGCTTGGACGGCACGTCCAGAATGGCCTCCGAGGGTCGTCGCGAATCAGCCGTAGGAAGCATACGGGGAGTGGACGTCTGGGAGTTAGCACCAAAAGTTCCGTCCTCATCCTCGCCGCCTTCAAGTTCTGCAAGTTCCTCGAAAAGACTGTGTCCTTCTGGGGGAACCGAATCTTGGGCGAAGCTAGTCGCAGGCGACTCTCGCGCACTCGAAGGCCGGCTGCTGTAAGCCATAGGGGCCTCTCCAGACGGACGGATTTTTCTGAGGACACTCCTCTTCTTCCTAAGCCTGTATCTGGGAGCGTGTGCTTGACTGGGGGAGGCGAGAACTTCATCGATGCCTTCATCTTCATCTGCGGAAGTGGATGCGGTGCTGTGATATGAAGAACGGTCACGAGCCTTGGCCATGATCAAGGATGAAGAAACACGTAGGCGAGGGGTCCTCTGAACAGTCTCCTCAGTCTCAGTCAGCTCATCAGTGTCAGAACTGCCATCAGCCATGCTCTCTATGCCAGTCTGGAAGGCTTCGCTTTCTGTTGCAGTTTCCCGCTCGTTGGCAGTCTCAAATGCATCATCGGCCTCGGTAGCAGTCTGGTAAGCGTCGCTGGGGTAGGCAGAGGATTCTTCACCGGAACGGTCGCGAGTCAGGGAGGTCGAAGCGTGACGTGTCGGGGTGGCATCTACAGCGTTGTCCTCCCACTCTGCGTCTTGGATCTCGATCTCAGTCTTCCCCTTGCGACCAGCTCCGAGCAGATCCGGTCGCGCAGGTTTTCTGAAGGCATCTGGCTTGGTCTTTTGTCGTTTGTTGGACGGACCTGCCGGGGCAACAGCTTCACGGCGACGTTGTTCGATCTCGTCCCGCGCCTCTTGTAGCATACGCTTCAATTCAATCTTTTCGGTCTTCTCGCGATGGATTGTACTCTTGAGATTTTGGATCATACGATGAGCGTGGCCGAGAGAACTGCGCAATGTTTCGGTCTCTAGGT